AATAAATAAATAAATAAATAAATAAATAAATAAATAAATAAATAAATAAATAAATAAATAAAGTGACCCATTTGGGAATCCAGGACCTGGTTATGCATTGGGTTAATTCTTTGGGCCAGGGGTAGAAATTTTCATGGTAGTGGCAAATGATGAGATTTTGTGTTGGATGTATAATAATCTCCACAGTAAAATTGTTTGGTATTGTCCTACTTGTTTTGAATTTTGCCTCTTTCAAAGATAGCTTGGAGAAGAATGGCTTTTTTATTAGTGGTATAAGAGTATACCTTTTGGGTATTAAATTTCGATTTTTGTAACTTGAAATACATACTCACTATGATTTTTAGTTAGCTGCATATTTAAAAATGCAGTGACTACAGAGAGAACATAGTTACGTGTTTACATTTTGACCATCATGCATCATATACACACACACACAAGTTTTTGATACACCAATATTTTTCTTATAAAAATGAACTAGCTCATCTCTAGATCTGTTGTTTAAAGAGCACTGTTAGGTTTTTAAAAGGAAGGATATAAGAAATATGTCACTTATGTTAGTATCTACACTGAAATTTTTCTGCTAGCTTATATTTAATATATTTATAGATTTATCTCAGCTTATATATATTTAGCTGAGATTATAAATTTATAATTTTGATTATGTTTTTACACAAATACTACTATTTAATTGTTTAGACTCTACTAGGAAATTTTACTGCATGCGTTATATATTTTTAAAAATATTTACTGTATTTGTAACTTTATAACTTAGAATGCTTTTTAAAAAAATTTTATACTAATCTCTAAAAAGCAGATTGTTGCTTATATTTTGTAATCTTTTTGATCCTCTAAATTTAGATTTTTAGTTTTTAGTTATCTTTCTTGAGACTTTCCCTAATGCTTTGTTTTATTCCTTATACTGTTTCACCAAAATAGAATGAATAATCTAGGCATTTTAAATGTATTTTTTAATGTATTTTTAATTTGTATGGGAGTATAATTTCTATATTTATATGCTACATACTACTTTGCAGTAGAAATTATGAAGGTAATCTAAAACAATTTTTTAAAGATTTTCATTTACTTATTATGTATATAGTGCTCTGCTTACATGTACACCTGCAGGCCAGAAGGGGGCACCAAATCTCATTATAGATGGCTGTGAGTCACCATGTGGTTGCTGGGAATTGAACTCAGGACCTTTGGGAGAGCAGACAGTGCTCTTTAACCTCTGAGCCATCTCTCCAGCCCCTAAACAACTTTTATTTATAGTTTTAACCTTTTCTTGTTCCAGACTTTAGTCTAGAGCAGAGTCTCTCAATCTGTGGGTTGTGACTTTGGGGGGGGTCACATACCTTCCGATTCCTAACAGTGGTGTAAATACAGTTATGAGGTAACAGTGAAATGATTTTATGGTTGGTCCCACAGACAGTTGACTACCGTCTTCCTCAGCTTTAATGGTTTGGACATGAGTCGAGGACAGAAGCAGGACACAGTAAATGACTCAGCATCTAGGAACCTCAGCAGTATGGGGACAGTTAATGTCTCTGTGAGAGCATGGAAGTGGCTTTTCTGGGCGAGTGAGGTGGCACAGTTGGTACAGGGGGACCTGCTGAGCCTGATGCCCTGCCTTTGAGCCCCTTACCTGCATGGTCGGAGGAGGGAGGAGAGAACAAGCTCCCATATATTGTGTCCTCAGCTCCGTACACACAAAATAACTGTAAAAAAAAAAAAAAAGCAAAAGAAGCTTTTTTTTTTTTAAACTTAAATTTGAGGAGATGGTTCTGTTAGTAAAGTGCCTGCCATGAAAGCATGAAATTCTGGGTCCAGATCTCTAGAACACATGTTAAAAGCTAAAAATGGTAGTCTTCCCAGTTTTGGGAGGATCAGAAGCAGTTGGGTCCCTGAAGTTCATTGGCCAGCTGATTTAGCTCAGTGGCTGAGCCTCATGTTCAGAGAGACCCTACATCAAAGAAAAAAAATCCAATCAACCAACCAAGCAACCAAGCAACCAACCAACCAAAAACAGGGATAGAGAACAATTTTCAGAAAGATACCTGACTGTGTCCTTGGGCCTCTGTGGGGACCCACGTCATTATAGATGGTTGTGGGCCACCATGTGGTTGCCAGGAGTTGAACTTGGGACCTCTGGAGGAGCAGCCAGTGCTCTTACCCAGTGAGCCATCTCTCCAGCCGGGGGACCCACATTATATGGACACACACACACAAACACACACACACACACACACACACACACACACACACACACACACTCACTCACACATTTAGTTCCCAGCACCTACATGGTAGCTCACAAGTGTGTAATTGTAATATGGCAGGGGTGGTCTTGATTGGGTTCCTTTTCAGTGCCAATTAAAGAATTAAAAGGCAAAAACATTCTTGATCTGCAACAGGTAGCAGAGAAATCTCCAGCATCCTAGATTACAACGATAGAATCAGCAGTTGAAGAAAGGTGTTTGTTGGGGATGAGGAAACACACACAGCAGACACACAGAGAAAAAGGCCCTTCAAAGAGGAGAGGGGATGCAGGAAAGGACAAACAAACAAACAAACAAAAAATACCAAAACAAAACAAAAGAGGGTTTCTTTGATCAATTGTCCTGGAACTCACTATACAGACCTGGCCTCAAACTCAGAAATCTATGGGCCTCTGCCTCCTGAGTGCTGGGGTTAAAAGGCATTTTTTCTTTTTGTTGTCTAGTTTGTTTTGACATAGGGTGTGGTATGTAGCCCAGGCTGTTCCCACCTCCCAAGTCCTGGGGTTACAGGTATGTGCCACCACCCTCTATTCAAAGATTCATAGTTAAATGTTTATCCATATTAAATATTAAACTGTGCTATAAGTATGCTAATTGCTTATAATGTGTCTTTCTTTTAATGTGCTATAGTGCAACCTTGGATGAGGCTGCCCAAGCTGGAACCGGTCCTCTGCAGGTGACGGTGGATCACCGTCCTGTTGCTATTACTGTAGAGGTGAAGCAAGAAGAAGACGTTAAACTGTCTCCTCCATTGTTTTCAAATCCTCAACACAATGATACCTTAGAGCAAAGAGAAGAGCAGGAATTAATACATGTTATGGAAGGATCCCTGTCTCCATCACTTTCTTCTGTTGATATGAGAATGACATCATCTCTGTCTTCTATTCCAAGGAGAGATGGTATTTTTCATCATGACAGTGGAGAACACTTTAGGTCTCTGCTAAGATGTGACCCTCAGGTCCTGCAAATGTTAAAAGAGGAACACCAGATAATTTTAGAAAATCAAAAGAATTTTGGATTGTATGTTCAGGAGAAGAGGGACGGATTGAAAAGAAGGCAGCGGCTAGAGGAGGAGCTGCTAAGAGCAAAGATTGAAGTAGAGCAGCTGAAAGCGACTCGCTTACGGCATGATCTGCCTGAGTATAGCAGTATCTAAGACGTTTTTCAGTCTTGCAATTTGATAATTTTAATTTTGGAGTATCACGAAGCTCAGCACATGTTCTATAAAAATGTTAATCTCTCTCTTATAAAAAAGATTTTGACATGATTTTCTTTTTCTTTCTGACCCCTTTTTTTCTTTTTCTTCTCTCTCTCTCTCTCTCTCTGGGTTTTTGAGGCAGAGTTTCTTTGTGTAACCCTGTCTGTCTTGGAAAGGAACTAGCTCTGTAGACCAGGCTGGCCTTGAACCTATTTTTTTTTCACACAATTTTCTAAGTATTTAATTTTTAGATACTAACATTTACTGATTGGTTGGCATGGTAATCCAGTTTATTTCCCCCCCCCCCCCCCATTTTTTCCTAAGACATTTAACTATTGGCCTTATGTAAGATCTTTTATTTTTATTATAAAAATAGTACAAATAGAATTAAATATGGTGTGTAAGCCTATAATTACAGCCCTTGAGAGGCAGAGGCAGATCAGATGTAGCCATTCTTGGCTATATACCAGCTTCAAGGTCAGCCTGTGCTATGTGAAATACTGTGTCAAAACAAAATTTACCAGTTGTTTAAATGCATTCATATTTCAGAGTCCTGAATCTTCAACAGCGTTAGTTACAACTTTGAGAGTTAGTGTTAAGAGCGTGCGGGCTGCATGTTGAAAGTTACCTAATGAGTGGTGAACACATACCTTTACCGCTGAGCTACGTCCTAGTCCTATTTCTGCTTTTTTGGAAACAATATCTCACCGTGTAGCCCAGGCTAGCCTGTATGTAATCCAAGCTTCTCCTACCCCAACCTTCTCAATACTGGGATTGTAGGTATCTGCTAAATTAGCAGTAACAAAAAACTTGTATGCATTACATTGCCGCTGTCTTTATCTCTTGAAAGAGTGGTGTTAGACCTTAGGGTTTGAAGATATTTGGAAAACACTTCAGTTTTCCAAATGAAAATGAAACCAAGGTCTAGGGTGCCATCATTTATTTCAGTTATCACAGCTTTTTATGTCAGAAGACGCATTGGCACTTAGTTTTAATGGGTTGGGGTGGGGCCGGGCAGGGGAGGTAATGATAGTGGTCATTTTTATTCCTTATTTAGTCTATAGAAATGAAAATCTAGGAGATTTACATCTCTACACACAGCTGGGTTATGAAGTCTAGGGAATTGTCTCTACCCTGCCCTCCTTCCTGTCTTTTCTGCTGTCTGATCAGGGATTTTTATTGACGCTATTACGTATTTTAACCATGTGACTAAAATTATCTTAATTTATTTTAAACGTTTTTCTGGAAAATGTTTTCTTCACAGAAAACTTAGAATAAAATAAAATAAAAATTACTTAGAATGAAAATAACAAAAATCATGTTTACATATAATATAACTTAATAGATTTTTTATAAATATGATTTTTGTAAATATTGTATTATTCCATGAAAACAAAATTTTAATTTTTATGATTACATATTAAATTTATGTTAAGTATTTATTTAATGTGTGTCTTACGTATTTGATTTCTAGTTTTTGCTGGGATTTTGATGAGTGAAGACCTTGAAAAATCAGACTTTCGGATGGGGCAGGTAGAGTTTCAGAAATCCTGGGGATAAAAGGAACCTGGAGTGAGCTTGAGCTTTTTAAAAGCACGTAGAAAATGGGATGAAGTGGATCAAGGTACCCATGCACAGACGCACTCTAAGCAAGGCAGTTTTTAAGTGCGGATAGGTAGAAAGCTTTTGGTAACTTGAACTAGGGATTTTTTTTTTTTTTTTTTTTGGTCTTACAGTGACCTGGAATACACTATGTAGATCAGATTTGGCTCAGTGTCACAGAGATCATTCACCTCCGGAGTGCTGGGATTAAGGGCTTGTCTGGTGGACAAGGTTTGACTACATTAGTTCAAGTTGAAACTTTACATGCAGAAATATATCAGAAATCTGTATTCTGTGTGAACAATCCCAGTTTTTAAATGTTTGGAAGTCATCCAGAATGCTTTTCAGTCACAGTTTAGGCATGCCAGTGGGCCTGCCCCTTAGCGCCTGGGTGCCAGGCTTCCAGTGGGGAAAAAGCCCAGGAAGGCGTTGTGGCTGGGATCCTGGGCTCTCCTGGTATAATTGAGGCCTCAGATTCCTTCCATCCACAGCACCACACACACACAGAGTTAAGACAATAGTGTTAGTCCTGAACTGGAGTGTCAGTGGCATGTTGGCTTCTTAGAAGTGTAAACCCATCCAGTGATTCTGAAACTAGGGCTGGGGTTCCGCAGTCTGTCAAGGGAGTCCCCTGGGGTTTCTGATGCTAGCTAAAGGGTAAGACTTGAACTAGGTGCTTAAATCAGCCAGCTTCTGAGCCGTTCTTACTGAAGAGAAATGTGGGTGAGGTGGAATTGAGAGGATGTCAGCTGTTACCAAGTTATGGATTACATTAAATGCTATTTTTAAGGAGTCAGATTTAACTGAATATAAAGTGAGACGCCGTGGAGGCTTTTTGATTATAGAGACATGATTAAAGATGTGTTTTTGGGAGAATGCTATCAAATTTAGTGATACAAGTTACGGTTTAATAAAGTGAACTCTTAGGGTACTGGGTTAGCTCGTTTATTGAATTTTGTTGGTTGAATCACAAAAGCATTTTATGCTTTCTACTTGCATTAAGCAAAACTTTGTATTGTGCGATGTCCTGAGGGCTGAGGATGTAGCTCAGGTGCAGGACGCTGGCCTAGCGCCCGAGGCTCTGGGGCACGTTCTCAACGCTGCATGAGCCCTGTGTGGGTGGCACTGCATCCCCGGAATCCTAGCACTTGGCACTGGAGGACCAGGCCCTGAAGGTCAAGGTCATGATGAATTCTCCCCCCCCCCCACCTTGAGACAGGGTTTCTCTGTGTAGCTTTAGCTGGCCTAGAACTCAGAGATCTACCTGCCTCTGCCTCCCGAGTGCTGGGATTACAGGGGTGCGCCCCCGCCCAGCCTTTATGGCAGTTTGTCTTCGTAATCTGTGCTATGGCTTTCATTTAAAATGTAATGAATCTTTTACTTTTAGGTAACATATTTTACAATAAAATTTTAATAACTGTGTCATTAGTAGAAACCTTTTTAAAGTTATTAAAAGTAAGCTATGCTATGAAGTATAATTCATTTTATAATTTCAGCGTGCTGCCACTCATACTTGATAGTAAACATTCAGTCTCAGTATTGACTTTGTATAGCAAAACCCATTTTAGAAGTGTTTCTGTGGAAGATTAATTCTGTGAAATGTTTCTAGAAAATAATTCTGTGTTTAAAGAAAGTACATCTGTTTTGGTGGTTTGGTTCTATAATCAGTGTGGAAATTAAAAAATATATAGATGCAAAATTGCCTTTGAAAATTTCTTTTGCTGTACATAAATTGGTATTATAATCACATTTTTATCTAGCATTGTTTAAATTTGCTGTTTCCATATGTCAAGTGACACAATTTGGTAGCAGTTAAGGGTTATGTTGGATAATAAACTTAATTTAAAAAATTTTAAATCCAGAATTCCACTTATTAGAGTAAACTTACTGCAGTTTTTTTATGAGTCAGTATTGTTTTAATTATATGTAAAACATATGATTCTGCCTCATTCTCTAATTCCTGTGCAACCATCTTTTCAAAGCATAGTATATGAGAATATCTGAATAAAGCAAAATATTAGTTATTTGACCACAGAACCCTTCTTGAAGTCCTCCACCCACCTTGATCTTATAGAATATGGCACTGAAATTTTAAGCTAATTCTCTTCGCTATTCTTTTTTTTTTTTTAAAGATTTATTTATTGTTTATACAGTATTCTGCATGCATATACCCCTGCATGCCAGAAGAGGGCACCAGATCTCATTATAGATGGTTGTGAGTCATCATGTGGTTCCTGGGAATTGAACTCAGGACTTCTGGAAGAACAGATAGTGCTCTTAACCACTAAGCCATCTCTCTAGCCCCTCGCTATTCTTTTTGATATGGAGACTTTCTGCCTGTGACCTGAGAACAGTTTCTGCTGGGGACAAACTTTACTTGGGGAAGCTTCCAGTCATTCTGGATACCATCCAGAGCTTTTGGACCGAGGGACCTCATGCTATCTGGGAGAAGCTGGGAAACCTGAGGGCTTTTGTTTTTGTTTTAGGTGTGATTCTGTAGGGATTCTTTAAATATGAAAATAGGCAAGGTAAATGATCATTTCATTTGATCACTGATTTTTTTTTTCTTCCGAGACATGTTTTCTCTGTGTAGTCCTACCTGTCTTGGAACTCACTCTGTAGACCAGGCTGGCCTCGAACTCAGAGATCTGCCTGCCTCTGCCTCATGCATGCTGGGATTAAAGGTGTCCGCCACCCTACTTGGCTTTTATTTGATCTCTTAGTAATTTGGATAGTGGGTAGTTTTTGCTCCCGTCCTAGCTTATCTCTTTCTCTTTTAAGGTTTATTTATTTATTATGTATACAATGTTCTGTCTGCGTGCACACCTGCACACCTGAAGAGGGCACCAGATCTCACTACAGATGGTTGTGAGCCACCATGTGGGTGCTGGGAATATTGAACTCGAGACCCCTGGAAGAGCAGCCCATGCCCTTAACCTCTGAGTCATCTCTCCAGCCCCTTAGCTTATCTCTTAGAGTTCAGTGAATTGTGCTGACTATATTATACTGCTGCTGATGGAGGTTAGTGAATGTTTTGTTAATACATGTTTTTTTTTTTTAAGAATAATGAAGTAAGTTATATTGATTTGTATATTCTTTTTGGTGCCATAAGTCAGAATTTAGTGTAATAGAGATATAAGTTCTTGATGAAGCAAACTTGAAATAAAATTATCTTCAAGACTATAATAGATATCAAATACACTGTATCTAAATATCATGCACAGAAACAAGCTCAAGGTCCACAAATTCTCAAAATAAAATATTTGGTTGTAAGCTGGGTGTGGCACACATCTTTAGTCCCAGCACTTGGGAGGCAGAAGCAGATGGATCTCTGTGAGTTCAAGGCCAGGCTGGTCTACAAAGTGAGTGCAGGACAGCTGAGGCTACACAGAGGAAACCTTGTCTCAAAAAAACAAAAACAAAAACAACAAAAAATTAAAAATAAAAATAAAATTGTAAATAATTAGGAAGTAAATGAAGTACGGAACAGAGGTAATAAATACAGGAGTAAGTTTTTAAGTTAGGGAACCTAATTAAAATGAACAGAATTGTGCTGAATCTTGGTATTCGTTTTGAGATACTACTTTTTCTCTCCATACATGGTGTGCTTTTATTCAGTTATTTTAAATAATAAGTACCTGTGACCCCACCAGGATGATTAATGTATTTTTTATAGTCTTTTGAATTGATTAAGCTAGTAGGTATAATTTAAAATTATTATTTTTTAATTGCTTTGTAAATAATGAGAAATAAATGAGTAAATGCAAATAAAAGTATCACTCGTCAGCTCGGTTTACTTATTTTAATATTTATTTTTGCTTTAGAGACAGTTTAACGTAACATTAGTTGGCTTTGAACTCGTGTGCCTGTGGATGTCCTTAAATGTTTTCCCCTGCCATCCGAGTGCTGGGATTAAGGTGTGCTACCATGCTTGATTTAGGCAATGCTTAGGATCAAACCCCCAAACTATTTAGACATACAAAGACTGAAAGAATTTTGTAGTAAATATTCACAAGCCTACCTATAACTCAGATTCTACAGTCAAGATTTTGCTAACATACAGGAGGTCCTGGGCTCAGGTTCTCGCCCTGGAAGAAAACGGGATTCCCAATGTTATCACATTTACCTCTTACCCCTTCCTAACCAGTCTCCTTCCTCCTCAGCCAACCACTGTTAGTTGTTTAAAGTCCCACAAAACCAAGTGTGATGACTCATACCTTTAATTCCAGCAGTTGGGAAGTTGAGTTGGAAACATCACAAATTAGAGGCCAGCCTCTAATTTGAGCTATCTGCATCAAGACCCTATCTCAAACAAACAAACAAACAAACAAGCACACCTACATAAAATGTGCCGGTTTAGAGTTTCATGTAATTAGAAGCATATGCTTGATATAATGTAGCATGTTTCTAATTACTGCTTAAAAAAGTAACCTATCTGTTCTGGCTCGTGTCAGCTTGACACAGGCTAGAGTAATTTGAGAGGTTGGGACCTCATCTGAGAAAACGCCTCTGTAAAATGGGACTGTGGGAAGCCTGTAGGGCATTTTCTTAATTAGTGGTTTATGGGGGAGGGCCCAGCCCACTGTGGGTGGTGCCATCCCTGGGCTGGTGGTCCTAGGTTCTATAAGGAAGCAGGCTGAGCAAGCCTCAGAGCAAGCCTGTGAACAGCACTTCTCCGTGGCGTCTGCACCAGCTCCTGCCTCCAGGTGTCCGCCCTGTTTGAGTTTCTGTCCTACTTTCCCTTCAGAATGGACTGGTATGGCCGTGTAAGCCAAATAAGCCCTTTCTTCCCCAATTGGTTTCATCATAGCACTAATAACCCTAACTAGGACACTACCTTCATGCTTTTAGTAGTCTATCTTTTTCCCTCTGTCCTCTCATTAGTAGTTCATTGTTTTGTTTGTTTTTAATTGTGGGATAGTACTATTGTATTAATTTTTTTTTGTTTGCTTTGTTTTTTTTGTGTTTTTTTTTTGTTTTTGTGTTTTTTTGTTTTTTAGATAGGGTTACTGTCTGTGTAGCCCTGGCTGTTCTGGAATCATTGCATAAACCTTGAGTGGGAAGAGATATATATTTATTTTACACATAACACTGAACTTTGACATTTACTATTTTTTTATTAGGTAAAGAAAGTTACAGATAATTTTCAATTTGAAGCCATTTATATATTATTGCATACTTTAAGAAGTACATTTATTTTATGTGTGTGGGTGTTTTGCCTGCATGTGTTTCTGTGTGCCACATGTGTGCTTGTGCCAGTGGAAGCCACAGCAGGGCAGCGGCTGCCCCGGACTGACTGGAGTCACAGATGTGAACGGTCAGGTGGACGGCGCTGGGCATGGTGGGCTGGCCCTTCCCACTGATCACTAATCCAGAAGATATCCTACAGGCTTCCTGCAGCCCCACCTGTGAATGCTTTTTCCATGTAGGCTACGCAAGACCTGTCACCCCAACCTCTACCAGGAAGAGTTATTACAGTTCTATTTTAGTGAACATGTTAATGTGTATGTGGTGGGTTGATTGAGAACAGCCTCCACAGACTCATATATATGAATGTTGGTTCCCAGTGGGTAGATTGTTTAAGGAAGGATTGGGAGGTATGACCTTGTTGGAGGCGGCGTGTCACGAGGTGTGGGCCTAGTCTCTTTCTGCCTCTTACCTGTGAATCAGGATCTAAGTTCTCAGCTACGGCTCCAGCACCATGCCTGATTGCTACATACCCCGCAATGGTGGTCACAGACTAATCCTCTGAAGCTAAGCAAGCCCACAGTGAAGAACTCTCTTCTGTAAGTTTGGTGTTTCATCCCAGCAGTCGAAGGGTAACCAAGACAGCATATTTTGATGTTCTGTAGGTTTTGGTCATTTTAATAAAAAAATAGTCTACAGGTATTTAGTTTTGGAATTGACTACATAAGACACTTTAAATTTCATTTGCTCTCTTGAAAACAACTTGAATATTTAGAATTGTTAAAATAGAAAGGAACGTTAAAGGTATATATATATAAAGATAAATATACCTATATATAGATAGATGTATGTGTGTGTGAGATCTATTCTTAGGAACCATCGTTTATAATAAAAATGCCAAGGCTGGGTATGGTGGCATACACCTTTACACTTAGCATTCAGACGGATCTCTGTGAGTTCTGTGTATCAAGTTTCAGGTCAGCCATGTGCACAGTGAGATCCTGTCTCAGAGAAAAAGCGATGAGATGCCTGTGTCAGTAAGTTAGCCTGTCCTCCTCAAGACTTGGTTTACCCTTTGTTCTTGCTGAAAGGCCCTTAAGTCTCCTGCTTACCTTTTTTTTTTTTTTTTTTTTTTTTTCCTTTTTCTTCTTCTTGTGTACTGATTTAGGAAGTGTGCTTCAGGATCTAGGAGAAACAGCTAGAATGGAATAGATTTCAGAAACAAAAAAATTAGTGTTATGGTGGAATTTGGGGGTGGTTAGTCAGGGAAATGGTAATTCAATATTTTCTGTTATACAGGTGGTCTGGCATAGGAGGCTATGCTCCTTGCTGCTGTCCCCAGTGGTCTTCATTCTACTCTTTGGAGTCCCTCATCTTTTCCCTCCCCTGACAGGAGGACAAGAACAAAAGTGTTGGTTGTGGTAGTCAGAATTTCAGGTTCGCTTGCTGTGTGGGAGATTCATTGGAAGCATTATTTGTATGTGCACAGACATGCACATAAACATGTCTGTGGGTGGATATTGACATGACTTTGTTGATTTGTGTGTGTGGTGAAGATTCTTGTGTGTGTGAACGTGTGTATACATGGCCATCTGATAGCCCAAAGCCAATACCGGGTGAGCTCTGTCACAGCTCTCGCTTACTGCTGAGGCAGGCTCCCTCACCTAGCCGAGAGCTTGCTTGTTTATTTGTTTTGAAACAAGATCTTCCCTATATAGCACAGGCTGCCTGGCACTCAGTATGTATCACATGCTACCCTGCGGCCACCATGCCTGGCCCATAAACTCTAGTTTATTTTAAAACTAATCAGTTTCGGAAATAAAAATGGATTAGATTAATGCAATGCTGACAAAATCTAGGTATGCCGACTTTGAGTTAGCAAGATTGCATTTCTTAGAAATGATGGGTATGGTGAGTGGTGGTGGCATACGCCTTTGATCCCAGCACTCAGAAGGCAGAGGCAGGCAGATATCTGAGAGTTCGAGGCCAGCCTGGTCTACAAAGTCAGTTCCAGGACACCCAGGGCTACCCAGAGAAATCCTGTCTCAAAAAACAAACAGACAAACAAGAAGAGAATCCTGTCGTTTGTGGCTACATGGGTGAATCTGGATGATGTCATGCAAGTGAAATAGGAGACTACTGTATGATTTCCCTTGTGCGCAGTGTCTGCAAACATTGAGATAGATGCAGAGCGTAGCATCACTAGGGGATGCGGTCGGAGATGGGCAGGGTGTCAAGACATAATGTTTAAACTGGACAACATAATAATGTCTACATTTTGTCAATTAAAAATAAATGGAGGAAAATGGAACTTCTTAATTTCAGAAAACTCTGCAACCTTTTTTCCTCAGCTTGTCATGTTAATGAAATTAGTCGTTAAAAACATATTATATATTCCTTCATGTCTAGATGTTAGAATAATAGCTTTAATTTCTAGTGTCCCAAAAGTTTTACAGTGACAAGTCACACTATTTCAGTTGAATTTATATGGCTTATAGGTGGTAGGACATTACATTCTTACATTATTCCATTACATTAGAAGTCCAAATACTGGGTGCAGTCATGGTCATGTTTGCACCCAGTATTTGGACTTCTTAGTTTCTAAAATACCAAAATGAACATTTCAAATACTCTTAAATTTTTTTTTTTTTTTTTTTTTTTTTTTTTTTTACATTCATTATTCTCTTTTTCTGTATGTGCGGAGGCACTTGTGGTTGGAAATCAGATGACACTGGTGGAGTTGATTCCTTCTCTCAAGTGGTTCCTGGGCCCAGACTTCGATTGTCAGGCATGGCAGGAAGTGCCCTCACTCACTGAAGCATCTCACTGACCCACAGACACTCACGTTCTTTCTTAGTGCACTCTGATTTTCTTACGTATATGATTGTTACTGTTTCTGTTATTGCTGTGATGGACAGAGCCTCATCCTTGCCTCATGGGTAGCAAGGCTGACTGTGAACCGATCCTCTTGCCTCTACCTCCAGCACTCTGGGATTACTGGTGGAGTACGCTGCTGTGGTATTTATTATTGCTGTGCCTATTTACTTCTGTTTGAATGACCTTAATACTTACAAATTAAAGTCCTCTTCAGTAATAATGTCTTAAATTTATTTTTTATTTCAGTTCATTCGGCCTCTAAAGAAATCACAGAATCCAAGACACAAGAAGAGGAACCTAGTAGCTTGCTTAAATATTTCAGTGTTGTTTGGTGTAAAGCTTCAAAGAAAAAACACAAAAAATGGGAAGGTGATGCTATTCTTATTGTGAAAGGAAGGTCCTTCACATTGAAAGATCTGGAAGGCAAAGACATTGGAAGAGGTATTGTAGTGTATATTACCTGCATGTATGATCGGCTCCTAACTTCGTACATATTCGTGGCTGAACAATTGAAACACAATTGAGCCTTAAAAAGGGACAGATTGGGATGGTATTTAACTGAATTTTGTGCCCATCTTTGTATGATACATAGTGTTTTTTGTAATAGTGAACCTAATACTCTTATGAGCTATGCTAGCTCATTAGAGCAAATTCTGCCTGTGGTTTAATTTTCTCTGAAAGGAGCCAACCAGCTATAGTTGTCTTAGTTGTCTTCTGAGATTAGGGAGTTTGTCTTGGCTCCCTCCCCTCCCCCAATGTTAAATGATTGAAATTGTAAAGAACTGTCATGATTAGAAGTTGAATGACATCCAGTTTTAATAAAAACTTGAAATAGGGAATAAGGAGATAAGGCCTGGGCCTGCGTAGATCCACAGCTGAGTTGGAGGGAACCACTGTTTTTATTACACAGCGCTCCCAGAATAACATGTCCTAATACAGAGCAGTACACAGAGCCAGGATGTGTCATACTAGGCTTTTTGTTCTGTTCTCTATCGTTTAGTTTTAAGTTTGGCCACATTTAAGTCTGTTGCATATATTCATCCACTCATTTAAAAAATACAGTTTATAGTTTGTTTGATTTTCAGCTTATATGCCAGTGACTATGCTAAGAGTAAAGGTTCATATAATTTATAGCGTAGTAAGGGGAATAGAACTGATGATTACAAAGTGGTAAGATAACTGTTTCAGTGAGAATTCCTGCCTGCTGGAATGGGCAGCTCTTCCAAAAGCAGCTGGCAGGGAGGGATGGGGCCACTATTGCTCAGCCCTCCCACGTCAACATGGATGCAGGCAGCAGCCCAGAACTGGGAAGTCCTCATGGCCTCCGGTAATCTGGGTCATGGACATCTTCACTGACCACTGCTGCTGCAGGGCCGCGGATCCAGACCCGGCCTTCATTGGCAGTGCAGGCGCTCACCATGGCCTCAGGTGGCGTGGCTTGCTGCTCACCTCAGGCTGTTCCTCAGCACCCTTGCGTCTCCACTTCTGGCTCTCTTCACAGTGCACACACTGTTCTGCTTCTCTTTCTCTCTCATCTCTCCACCTCTTACTTGCTCATCCTAGTGAGGCTGGGTGCTGGGTGGGTGAGGGCCTTCCCCAGATGGGCTTTGCTGACAGGGTAGCCTGCAGAGGAGAGAAGGAGTCAGGTGCTGATGGTCTGAGGAATCTTGAAGCTCTGACTTGCAGTCAGGTGCTTCTTTATTTATACAGGTTCCACAGAACAGAGGTAGACTAATGGTTTTCCAAGAAGTCCAGATTATATGTCTGATTTTTCATTACATTTACAGGGTTACAAGTTCAGTCACAATTAGAAAATATGAACATAACAAACAAACAGAACAGATTTTATTTTTATTATAAAAATAAATATTATTTATTTTTATAAATAACTCCTGTAACTCCAATTTAAAGAATCTAAAGAATGTCTACTCCAAAACAACCACATTTATTATATGACAACCTGCTTTTAAGCTGGCAATGTTTGCAGTCTGAAAGCACTCCAGAGAAACAGAAAATATCTGAATCAGTTTTTTTTTTTAATGAATAGCAAATACTAATACCTAACTTCTTTTATTATATGAAGTAGTAAGTAATTGAAAGGCTGTTGGGCTATATGTTACTAGCCCTATGACTATCACGGCAGTATTATCTAACCCACAGTCACAAATAATAAGTCACAGACACCTGTTAGATTTTATAATTGCCTTATTACCTTGGCCAGGCAGATATTACTATCTACATTGTCTAAACATTCTCACCATCATCTCCCAACCCCCATCCAATGCTGTTCTCCTTAATCCTCTTCATTTGGACTACCTTTCATCCATAATCCCATGGTACTTGCTTATAATTTTCATTTGGGCCTTTTTACGCCATTATAGGAGTCCTTCTTTGGTCCATGTGGTGTTTCTGGTGTTTTCTCCAGGCTAACCCATCCTGGCCCTCTTCTCCTTCTTTTCCAGTAGTCCATCTGCCTCTCTCCTGTGATTTCTCCAAAGCCCGAGACCCTTAGCCACGCCCACCCCATTCTGCCCTGGCCAGCTAAAATGGCTTAGGCAGGTTTATACATCAGACCAGCCTCCAACAACTGTATGTTTCATCCTCTATGCCGCAAAGTAGGAAGCGTTTATTTTAGTCAGTCTATCTTAATTACTGAGTTCTGTTCCTCCAGGGGTGCATCCTGTGCAAGCCCCTGTCTTTAAATTTTCAAGAGAGTTTTAAGTAGATTGTAAACGGAGGTCTTGAATCTGTAACCTATCCTGGCAAGTCAGTTTGTCAATTGTCTCTCTTTACCCTGCACCCATTATGCTGTTTGAGTTTGCTCGGGGGCAAATATCTCAAGAAGATTCTAGAGTAATGGCCTCATCTAGCTATGTGCTTATCTATGCTCAATGAGCTCCAGAGCATAAAAAAGACTTGCAAATAGTGTCCAGATAAAGTTAATTTTAGGATCTCCCTAAAACGACTCAGACATCATTTTCTCAGGAAAAGACATAAAATGAATCATAATGCAGAAAGTCCCCAAGAATGTAACAGACCAAAACCCAAGTGAGAGACAGAATGATGGAGAGTGCAGCATTTGGCTCAGCTTTGCTGGAACCGTGTCATGCAGCTGTGCTGTCTTCATGACTCTTGCTGTTCCCAGTGGGTATGGCTTTGCCAACGGGGGTTGTTTTATCTGTGTTAATGTCTTAAATACTTCTTTTAAAAACTTAACTGTTTATCTGTCTGTCTATCTAGTGTGTGTGTGATGTCAGAGAGAGAATGGTTTATGGAGGAAGGTAAAAGGACAATTGTTTTAGAGTTGGTGTACTTTGTGCTAACTTGCCCAAGAGCTTTCAGGCAATTCTCCTGTTCCAAATTTTTCATCTTACCATTAGAATGCTGGGAAATGGCTAGAGATAGTATTATTAGTTAAGAGTACATATTGCTCTTTTGTTGGACCCAACTTCAGTTTCCAACACCCACATAGGCATGCGCACACACGCACATATATATAATAAGTGAGTCTTTTGAAAAGCACTGATATTATAGACACTATTGCATATTTAAAAATAATCTGGCTTTTTATGTGAATTTTGAGAATTAAACTTGAGTCATTAGGCTTGTTCATCTAGCATTTTGAGCTATCTCCTGGCCCTTTATGCTTTTCTTAAATCAGAATGATGTGTTATTTTCCTGGCTGTTGATATGTATATTATAACATATACCAAGGATAATGTTAATTCTGTACAGTCATGGGAAGATAAATATTTTATTACTAAGTTTTCTTAGAATGTCAGTTCAATTAATATGTTTTTTGTTTTCTTTTCTTTTCTTTTTTAAATTTTTTTGGAGGCATTGGATATAAGTTCAAAGAGCTTGAAAATATAGAAGAAGGCCAAACCCTGACGCTTGGTGGGAAAGAGATAGAAGTCCTGGGTACAATCTCTTCCGACGACTTCCACAGTGGCAAGTGTTTTCAGTGTGCAGGAGGAAGTCCTGTCGTCCCAGGTTCTCAGGCTGCCAGGAAATGTTTTTCTAACCCTTTCAAAAGTGTTTGCCAATCAACTCAATCAAAGAAAACTAGATGGGAAAACTGCAAACCACGCCATGACCCATGCACACCAAGTAAGGTTTTAAAGACAATTGAACATTCTGTTTTCATTGTTTAAATTTGTTTTTGTTTTGTTTTGTGTTTTGATTTGGTCTTTCAAGACAGGGTTTCTCTTGTAGCTCTGGCTGTCCTCGAACTTGCTCTGTAGACCGGGCTGACCTTGAATTCACAGAGATCAGCCTGCCTCTGCCTCCTGAGTGCTGGGTATAGGTGTGTGACATCACCACCTTAGTATTGTCTAAAGATTTTTGACAAGTGAATTGATGTTTAAATTTTGTTTTAAAATTTGCAAATGGGTGTGGTCAGCCTGGCTTACAAAGTGAATAAGAAGTCTGCACTATGTATTTTTTTGATTTGTCTTGAAACCAAAAACTAGATAAAACAAAAAAATGCAGGCGAAGGACTGGAAAGGTGGATTAGTGGGCAGAGGCTCCTGCTGCTGAGTTGTTTACCTGAATTTGATCCTTTCTACATGGTGGAAAGTGAAAACCAACTCCCAAAAGTTATCCAGCTTCACATGCATTCCATGGCGTGCACACACATGCAAAATTTAAAAAACTGTGAAAATTTCAGGGGAAGATTATATTCAGATGTACCCTTTCACATAAAGAATACTGATGACATCAAATGAAAGTTATTTAATGTGTACATTCGTAATTTCAGTGATATATGCTGATACTAGTATTTGGTGTACCTCTACAGGGATATTTCCAGGTTCTTGTTTCCCAGAAGAAAGTGCTGAACACAGACATAGCTACAGTAGAAGTAGTTTATTAATAACTAGTACACTTCCAGGGAGGAGAAGCCCAGAACAGAGAAAAAGCTTAGAAGCTCCATGTCAATGCTGCACAAAGGATGAACACTTTTATATTCTGTACCACTGGCTCTTTGGCTCATTTGCATTTGCATACTTTGAACTTCCTCAGGAACGCTTTCTGTTCATGTAGTCTACATGAGCCTAGGGTTATCCTCTCAGATCTGGAGCCCTTTGCAAGTGGTCCCTGCCGGTTCTAGTTGGGCTATGCCTGGGGATTTCTAGTCTTCCTCTTTGCCAGTAGGTTTATCTCACATGCTAATTTTTTAGCTTTGGGTTAGGTCCTTCCTGACTTCACTCTCTGCCCTGTCTAATCTCAGCTCCTCCCCGAGAGCTTTTTGGGGAACTGAAGGATGGTGATGATACATCTTATAGCCACTTCACGCTGTTGTAGAAGGAGTGTCGTCTCTTCCTATGAGAGAAAACAAAATGCTCTTTATCCATCCACTGATTGGAGAAGAGGACCTGGACTCCTATGGTGTGAATTGGCTGGGGGCCCTACATTACATATAGTCTAGAATTTCTGCATCTTCGGTGACACAAAACCAGCATTTCTCTGAGCATCAGGCAGTGTTCTAGCTAGTTCTAATGTCAACTTGACACAAGCTAGGGTTATCTGAGAAGAGGAAACCACAATTAAGAAAATGCCTCCGTAAGCAAGTCTGCAGTGGGTTTTTGTTCGTTTGTTTTTTTTAAATTGGTGATTGGTGTGGGAGGGCTCAGCCCGTGTAGGTAGTGCCACTCCTGGCCTGGTGCTTCTGGATGCTATGAGAAAGCAGGCTGAGCAAGCCGTGGTGAGCAAGCCAGCAGGCAGTATTCCTTGATGGCCTCTGCATCTGTTCCTGCCCCTAGACTTCTGCCCTGAGTTCTTGCCGGGCTTGCTTTAATGATGAACCTATAAATAACCCTTTCCTCCCAAAGTTGTCCTTGGTCTTGGTGATTATACAGCAGGTTCCCTGTCAGGTTCCTGCTGTCCTGTCCAGGGCTGTCAGTTCTTGCAGTATAGCTGTCCTTCTGGCTTTAACCTTTTGCGTTTGGGAGCTCTCAGGCTATAGAAGATAACACTGACAACTACTGATAATACTGGAAAAACACAAAGGAGCAGTTGTGAGAAGGGATCGAGTCTGGGGCTGGATTGAATGGATCATTGCTAACAGTGAACAGAACTAAGCTCTCATTCCATGACTATATATCCATGCAGTCGATATTTGTTCAATGTACTAGAATCGATTTTATCTCCCTTTCTCATCTCTTTATTCCTTTTTTCTTTTTTTTTGAGTCTCTAAATTTTATTTATTGTTATTATTATTATTTAATTTATTCACTTTGTATCCCAGCTGTAGCCCTGTAGCCCCCTCCCTATCTCTTCCCAGTCCTACCCTCCCTCTTTCCCTGCCATATCCCTCCCCTAGTCCACTGATAAGAGAGGTCGTCCATCCCTTCCATGTGACCCTAGCCTATCAGGTCTCTTCAAGACTGTCTGGATCCTCTTTTTCTGGACTAGTAAGGCCACCTCGCTGGGGGGGAGGTGATCAAAGAGCAGGCAACCAGGTTCATGCCAGAGACTTCCCCTGCCTCCCTGGAGACTGAATTGCCCATGGGGTACATCTGAACAGGGAGTCTAGGTCCTCTCCATGCATGGTCCTTGGTTGATTCATCAGTCTTTTCAGGGCCTCCTTTGCCCAGATTTCTTGGTTCTGTTGTTCTCCTTGTGAAGCTCCTGTCCTCTCCAGATCTTTCTATTTCTCCCTTCTTTTATAAGATTCCCTGCACTCTGCCCAAAGTGTGGCTATGAGCCTCAGCATCTGCTTCAATACCCTAGTGGGTAGAGTCTTTCAGAAGCCCTCTGTGGAAGGCTCTTGTCCTGTTCCCTCTCTTATCCCGCTTCTGATGACTATCCTGTTCTCCCTTCTGAATGAGGATTAAGCATCTTTCTTAGGGTTCTCCTTGTTGTTATTCCTTTTTTCTTTCTTGTTTAATTCTTGGAATGAATTAAGTTTCAACCACATTGTTACCATGCAAACATAATCCAAAGTCAGTTTTGGTGGATTAATTATCTTCAGATTTATCATCAGTCATGTTTCTGTTATATTTGATTTTGTCTTTGGAGGATATTTTAGTGAATCCTTTAAGCTGTGTTAACTTTATTTCTAAAAAATTAGATTATCATTTGATGATTAATTCATGCTGCTTTGCAAAAGCTCATGAATTTGACATTCATGAATATAATAGTTAACTTTCTGAGAATAATGATGGTTAAATCAAAGGGGAACTTGTCATTCTCTTTCAGGTCTGGTTAATGTTAGTAGAAATGATGGTCACTGTCAGTATGTACAAGCCTTCAGATAAAGGCTTTCTGTTGAGCTTGGGCAGAACCAGAGTCTGTGAAAGCTGGCAAGTGCATCTGGTTAAAATTCTAGACCCTGCCTTCCTGCTCTCTAGTGTGGAGTGCTGTGCTGACTGAATCCTCAGGCAGAAGGGAAGTTCAGCGTCTGCAGCGCTCGAGCACCCGGAGTGGGTGACTTCCTCTCCCCTTTCCTTCCTCTTCCTTTCTCTCCCATCCCACCCTGCTCCCCTTTTCCTTCCTTTTCCCCTCTTTTTGGCCTAGATTTTTTCCCTATATTCCTTCTTCTGCCTTTAGAGTGCTTGGATTATATGTGTGAATCCTTCACTGGTATACACACACACACACACACACACACACACACACACACACACACACTCGCAAGTAGCTCTGGTGTGGAAGTAATGGGAACAAGATAATGCTGTTGCTGCAAGTGATCGACCTTTATGCTTTTGCCTTACTTTTAAGATTCCCTTGTCATGCCGCGGCCAGGCAAGGACCACCAGTGGCTGTTCAATAGAAACAGCTTTCCTCTGGTGGATGTGGTGATAGACCCTCACCTTGTTCATCACCTCCGACCACATCAGAAAGAGGGGATCATCTTCCTCTACGAGTGTGTGACAGGCATGAGGTAGGAAAACAAACGGTAACAATTACCTTTTTAGAGATGAATCTGATAGAATGAACTTCAAGTCTGCGCCATAGCGTTAGTTGGTGGGAAAGGCAGCTGGTATTAAATGTGTGCATTTGGTGGAAGGCGTGTGCTAGATGTTCTGGTGAGAGGTGGGCTTCCAGGAGCAAGGACCTCAAGTAGCCCCCGCCTCATATTGTCTATCCACTTAGGTCAGTCTTGATATAAATACTATTTCGCTTGCTCCTCCCAGACACTCCGTAAGTCAGATAGGGGAAACACAGTGAGAAGAACAGAGATTACTTTCCCAGTTATGCAGCTAATGGGAGACAGTTTCCCTGTTAGAAACAGGGCAAGATTGATCAGCTTTTAATTGAAGACTCTTTTCTCTAAACCATTTGGCTTCAAAGATGAACCTCTAATCTAAATACATGCACATGTAATTTATGTTTATACGTGTATGTGCACGCTCACACATACACATATAAACTTTTTTATGCTGGGGATTGAACCCAGGGCTCTGTGTACATTTTTCTAACCTCACCAAGGTTTTTCATTTAATCCTCACCTCACATTGAACCAACCTTTTATAGGCTTCAACAGAAGATCGAATTTCAGACCATGCCATGTTTCTGCTTCTCTACTCATAAAGACATATGGGTACAAAGAGAGTATTTTTAGGGAAGCACCATTTTTTGGCTTGAGGCTCACAGGAGCATAAGCAATCTGAAGGATGTTAATGGCTGAAGAAATTGATGAGAACTCAGGAAGGAATATTAAGAGCTGCATTTGTGCATCTTAGTTCCCTTCAGACTTCACTTCTGTGAGGAGGTTCAGTACAGAGTGCTGAAAGGGACACCGTGTTCATCCTCTTCCTGTGTGTTTCTCTCTCTCTCTCTCTCTCTCTGTGTGTGCTCGTGTGCACGCGCACGTGTGTGCTGGTGGATATGGACAGTAGAAGTCGGTTTCAGATGTCATTTCACAGTGACATCTACCTTGTTGGCAGACTGGCTGGCCAGCGAGCCCTGGGGGTCTGCATCTCCTGCACTGGATTACAAGTGTGAACCACCAGGCCTGGCTCTTTACATGGGTTGTGATATTGGATTTAGGTCTTCCTTTGTGCTGCAGATGAAACTATCTCCCCAGGCCCTGCTAACTAATTGTTATTTCTAATAGAGAAATGCAATTAAGCTGATGAACTCTATTTACATTTTTGGTGATATCCTTAATTCCATTGGACATTGTAACTTTTAAATATCATGTAGCTATCTAAGAGCTTAAAAATATAAAGCAGTATAAAATGCATGATTTGGAAAATATTCCTAATAACTTTGCATTTTAAGTTGTATTAATTGTAGGACATTAGACATTGTTTTTTGTTTCTTTGAGACTTGGTTTCTCTGTGTAGCCCTGGCTGTCCTTGACATGCTTTTATAGACCAGTCTGGCCTGGAACTCATGGAGATCCGCCTGCCTCTTCCTCCCTGAGTGCTGCTATTAAAGGTGTAAGCCACTGCACCCAGCTGATGTCACACATTTTTAAAGCACTTTTGGTTGAGGACTCCATTGTTTGTCAGAGAGTGATATATTTTTATTATAGAATACATTTATTTTAAACAATTTCAGCTCAAATTTCTTTTTTAATATAATTTAGTTATTTTTATGCTATATACATTGGTATTTTGACTACATGATATTTATGTCAGAACCCCTGGAACAGGAGTTACAGACAGTTGTGAGCTGCAATGTGGGTGCTGGGAATTGAACCCAGGTCCTCTAGAAGAGCATTCAATGTTCTTAACCACGGAACCATCTCTTCAGCTCTCAGCTCAGATGTTGCTGACTAAAGCTTCAATATATGTTGAATTGTTTTGATACCCAATACTAAAATTGATTAAGAAGTGTTCAAATGTTAGTGATGAGAAACATGTCTTATAGTTAAATTATTCCATAGATACAAAATTGGAATTCATTTCTCGTATTCAACTATGTATAGATGACAGTAATGGGGGGTTATATAGTCAGATCCTTAATTTAAGATTCATGTTTTTGTAATTAGTTCACAATACATAATGGTTATAATTGTCAAAGATCCAAACGTGATAGGTTGTAATCAGCTGGACGAAACACTGAAAATCTTCAGGGTCAGTATTACCAGTTTCCTGTTCTTGATGATATCAGGGCATGAAATACTTCTCATTGTGATTCAAGAAAGTATAATTGCTTCTAACAGGGCAAATGGCAGATGTGGTGCTATTCTTGCTGACGAAATGGGTTTAGGAAAAACATTGCAGTGTATCTCGCTCATCTGGACCCTCCAGTGTCAGGGACCCTATGGAGGCAAGCCAGTAATAAAGAAGACACTTATTGTCACCCCTGGAAGCTTGGTGACTAATTGGAGGAAAGAATTTCAAAAGTGGCTGGGAAGTGAAAGGATCAAGATATTCACTGTTGATCAGGTAAGGGATCTTTAAAGGTCTAAGCCGTAGCCATTCTTATTATTTTTGTTTGTTTTGTTTCTCTGTGACCGTCTTTGTAGATCAAGCTGGCCTCAAACTCACAGAGATCTGCCTCTGTGCTGGGATTAAAGGCCTGCGCCACCACGCTCAGCCTTCTAGGCCAATACCTAGCCTTTTAAGTGAGTAATTGAGTTCTTAGTGTTTTGAGTATGTGGAATTCCTTAAGTACCTTGCATAGAAATGGAGTTTGGCTTTCTAGGTGTTGAAGGATGGTTGGTTACCTTTGGTTCCTCAGGGTCACACGGCCAGGTGCTGCCTCTCAGTGTGCAAGTGCTCATTTTCTTGCAGCATGATAATGTAATATCGTGAGTTGGAAACGCATCGTTGGGCATGCGTCTGTAATCCCAGAACTCTGAAGGCTTAAACAGGAGGATGATCCAGAATTTGAGGCCAGCCTTGGCTAGAATGAGAGCCAAGCCTGATGTGTGTTTGTAAAATGAATTCATGTAATGTTTTCTACATCATTGTTTAGTGTAACTTTGCATTAGCCTGTAGCTTGAAAACCTCAGGTTGTTTGTGAGCAGGTGGTCCAAGAGGGCACTGAGCTGGATGACTGGGACTAAGGAGTTTATTAGAAGAGTTATTAATGACTTGGGCAGAGAGGCAGGGTTAGCAGCAGGACTGTGAGGGGAGGCAGAGAGTCTGTTTGCATACCTTTGGAGGCTGGGGAGGTTCACAGGCAGGCGGCATGGAGCGGATGGGCACCCCTTTGATGTAGGCTCTGGCCAGCTGAGATGTCATGGCAGTGATAAGGCTGCTCACTCTAGGTTCACAGACTGTGAGCCCGTAGGTGCCTGTCGGCACCTGGGAGGGGAGGCCTGAGCAGAGGCTGGCTGCCAACATTTGTGTGTCATCACCTTACAAAACCCATTTTATAATAGAATGTTGACTTTTCATTTGTTTTACCGAATCCTGAGAAAACAGAATGGCTTTATGGCCATCTTTTTGTAACATTTTGAAATAAAAATATCGCAAGTCACCCGTCAGTAGTCATTCGGCAGTTGGTATCGCTTTGGGAAGTGATCAGGGTTAGATCACGGAGTAAACATGGAGTCCGTGACTCCAGTGGCCTGCTTTGATATTTAAATCTCGGCGGAGAGATGGCTTTTAGGAGGCCTTTACTAATGGTAGGAGAACTTGCAAGTCCATCTCCTTTTGTTTGTGACAGCAGGTAGGATAGCTTGTGAGGATCACACCTCTTTCTCAGACTCCTCGTGGAAATTAACCATTGTTCTGAGATGTTTCTACTCTGGCTTAGAAACTACAATAAAAAGACAGGCCGACAGTTACTGTAGAAGAAGGCTGACTCTTGTGTAAACAGGACACAAATAAAGTAACTAGATACAATGTTGTGCAATGGGAGGAGCCAGAGGACAGGAAAGAGGGGAGGAGCTAGAGAGCATGAGGTGAGTGGGAGGAGAAAGCACTAGGAGAGAGCATGAGGAGGGCAGAGCTGGAGGAGAGAGCTTGGAGGATGTGGAGCATGAACCAGACCTAAGATTTCACAAAAAGCAAGTATAATGTGGGAAATCTAAATGTTAGGAAACAGAGGGTTGGAGGCAGAGACGGGAGACTTGCTGCTGGCACTGCTTGCTGCAGCAGCCTGCCTATTGCTGTGGCTGTCGAGTCTGGACCTTTAAAAAAGTTTCCTGTGTGCTGTGTGTTTATTTAAATAATATTAATCCTCACTCCCGACTCAAGAACCATTGGCCTCTGTGGCTGGCTCCGGCACCTATGATGGGAGTAGTACGCTGCCACTAGCAAGGTGTCTCCGATCGTCCCCTCCCCACTGTGTCATCAGACTTCCCCGTGACACCAGGGAGAGGCGGGAGGCTTTTCATGTGACCAGTCTGGGTCTTTCTGTTGAGTCTCTGGTCTGGTTGGTATTACCTGAGACTATGATGTTAGATCAGCTATGGGGGTGGGGTTTGCTTTGTTGGTGCTGAGGAGGTTTTGCTGCTGGGGTAATTTTGGTCCTTTGATTTAAGATGTTCATCAGTCAGCCCCCTTGTTCCTGGGAGCAAAAGCAATGGTAGGTGAGAGAAACCAAGGAGAACTCAGAAGGAAGGACAAGAACTAAGTGAGCTTAGCTGAGTCGGTGGCTGGGCCTGCCTTCATTGACGGGCCAGACTTAGGCTTCCCAGCCCAGTGAGAAGTCATGGCTGTTGTTCAAGCCTTCTTAATGCAGCCCAACAGGAGCAAGACAGGAAGGGCCAACGGATTGTGATATTTGGTTATTGATTGGCAAAATAGGTTGCTTAGATAGGAGTTCATAGTTTCTGTTTATGGTTTAGTAAATACTATTTTTCTCTCTTCAGGACCATAAAATTGAGGAGTTTATCCAGTCTACATTTTATTCTGTTCTTGTCATCAGTTATGAAATGTTACTTCGTTCCCTTGATCAAATTAAGACTCTAAAATTTGACCTTCTGATCTGTGATGAGGGTCATCGTTTGAAGAACAGCAGTATCAAGACAACTACAGCCCTCTCCAGCCTCTCTTGTGAGCGCAGAGTAATCCTGACTGGTCAGTAGTCACTCCAGGAAGACGTGATGGAAGGTTTTTCTAGTGAACCATTACAGGCTGTAATCTCATGCTTGACATAAAAAGAGCTGCGGGTATCGGGGGAATTCATGTGAATAAACCTGTGTTAATTGATTCTGAGTCTTCAAATCCCCTGTGCAGTTTTCTGTGCCTTTTGAGGGATGAATTTAATGGTGTCATAGTGATGGCTGATGGGGCTGGACTGGGTGGACCTGGTTTCTCGGGCTGCTGGTTAAGCTGCGCAGCTTGAGAAAGTAATTTACCCTCTTGGTATCTCGATTTTCTTGTCTGTCAAATAGGGATATAATGGCATCAAGTTATAGAGTTGTGAGGCCAGAGGACTCGTTCCATGTGATCGGGACTGCCTGTCACGTGGCAGGCATTTCTTGTGAATCTATGTTGCATGTCCATGCCTTAGTGCTGGTCAAAGCTCCTGGCCCAGAGTGTCTGGAAAGGTGGGATAGACCATGTGTAATACAAGGAGCCCTTTCCCCCTGCTTGTTTTCAGCTTAAGGCCTAATTTAGAGTCAAGTCAAGTCTGAATTTCTCAATGTAACTTTTTTTTCATACTTGCTATGTTAACATTCTTCAGATTTGTCATTCAGGAGAAGGAAGAGAGTTTTATTCATTTCTAACAGTACTTACCAACTCTCCATTTTCTTTGTATTCAAGGTTCCACTCCCAACCATTTTATGCTTACATTTTTAAAAATTTAAATGTGTATGTGTATCTGTGTGATATATGCTTTGTATGCATGTGTATGTTCACCTAGGCAAGCCAGAACAGTCTGTTAGATAGCCCTGAACTGGAGTTACTGTTGACTGTAAGCTACCATATGGACATATGCCACATGCCTGCTGGGGACTGAATCCAGGTCCTCTAGAAGAGCAGTAAGTGCTTTTAACCGCCAAGCTGTCCATCCGGCTCCAGTTCCCTATGGTATTGAACCCTTATGGACTGAATTGCATTATGGTCTCTTGATGATCTTGTCCTTTGCATGGCCTTTATGCATGTCAGAGCCCTTCTGTGAAGTTAGAATGGGAGAGAGAAGGACTGTAAGGAGCCACTTTTTCTTCCCTAAGTCTTCTCACAGGTAAAGGTATATCCCAAAGCAACAGGGAAAGGCCAAGTCAGGCTTCCTTTCTTAGCAAGTTGGGGTATGGTGGGAATGTACCTTTAAAACGTCAGTTCTTTGACTTCTTATTTGTGAAGTAGGAATATGTAGCAATTTCTAGTGGTGATATTTAAAACTATGCTTTAAAGAGTAACTTTGAGCTAGGTATAATTCTGTACACCTGTGCCAAGCATTCAGCAGACAGAGTCGGGAGGATTGCCCCTGAGTTCAAGGCCAGCCTTCTCTACATACTGAGTTCTAGAGTTATGCATTGAGACTTTGTCCCAAAATCCAACCCACACCGAAACAGAACAATAATTTAGAGCCAGGTGTAGTAGTTCACACCTGTAACAGCAGCCGCTCAGGAGGAAGAAGCAGGGTGAACAGCTACAGATTCATTGACAGCTTAGTAACCCTTTAAATGTAAGGATTTATTTATCTGAGATAGAGTCTTACTGGGTAGCACTGGCTAGCCTGGACCTCAGAGGGGATTCTCCTCACTCTGCCTCCTCAGTGCAGGGATCAAAAGCAGTGTGCCACCACAGCCAGCCTTGTTCTTAAAAAGGCTTTAAGTTACAGTTCTTTATGTCTGTTTTGTGTGGGGGTTTGCGCATGCTTTGGAGGTCAGAAGACAACTTGTAGGAGTCCATTCTGTCCTTCTGCCACTTGGGTCCCAGGGACGGAACTTAGCTTGTCAGGCTTGGCCACAGCTCCTTCACCTGCTCAGCCGTCTCCCTGGGCTTGGCTTTTAATTTTTTAAAATTTAGTCACTTAAAGATGAAAAAGATTAAAATAATTGGCATCAGATATCCTAAGTACCTTGATGCCTAATGTTTAATGATGGCCAATCAGTGTTTGTATATACTAACGTGGAATTCGGGCAGTAGAGAAGCTGGCGTTTAATACTTATAAAATTCTTTTTTTTAAAAGGAAACAGGGAATTGGAGAAATGGAAAGCTTATTCTAGGTGATTTTCATGTCTTTGGCTATTTGAGGAACTAAGTAGGTTCTTCCAACTCCACGAGCGACCAAGGATCTTGAGAGCCTTTTGACTGGGGAAACTGTGGGAAAAGTGACTGAATTTGGTTACAATATATGATTATTTCTCCTTTCCATTCAGCATGAGGGCAGTATTGCAACTATAAAATAGAAAAGATTAGCTCTAGCAGTGTGGCGAGGAAATGAAGATGAGCGTAAAAGAAAGTTTTGAAAAGAGGAGCAGTCAAGGAGGCCAATGATCTTTCCTCACTTGGGTATCAGCTGTCCTTAACAAGAGCGGACAGATGACTCACATCCTCAGCAGGAAGCCTGCTGCTAACTTAGTATTCTGGGTTTTTTTTTTATTTCATCAGTAAAAAATTGATCCAGGTATTTCCTTTACAAGGAATGTTCCGTTGGTAACTTGTGAGATGTCTTCACGTAGAAATTGCCATTGCCCTCTGTGTCCCTACTTTGTCAGTCTTGAGACTGTTTTTGTTTTCCTGTTCCTGTCACTTTTGCTCGTGGAGCTATAAGCTTGGATTAAAAACTAGTGCTAACTAAAGAAGATGTTTATAGTTGTTCTTTATGCCTTTAGAATTGTCTGAATCTATCCATCCATACCTGTCTACCTGTCTATCATTTTGTGGTGTTAGGGACTGAACCCAGGATTTATTTTACCTTTTTCTTTTTTTTCTTTTCTTTTTTTTTTTATTTATTGAAAACAGAATCTTTCTCATAGAGTATATCCTGATTATGGTTTCCCCTCCCTCTCCTCCCAGTTCCTCCTCACCTCCTCTCTCTTCCTGATTCACTCCCTTTCTGTCTCTCCTTACAAAAGAACAGGCTTCTAAGAGCTAGCAACCAAACATGACAAAGTAGAATGTAATAAGATCAAAGCAAAAACTATCATATTGAATTGGACATGATAATCTAGGAGGAGGGGAAGGAGAGTCCCAAGAGCAGGCACAGGAGTCAGAGACCCAGTCGTTCTCACGACCAGGAGTTCCATAAAAATGCTAAGCTGATAGTTTTAATATGTGCACAGAGTACCTGGTGCAGACTTGTGTCGGCCCTGTGCTTGCTACTCCAGTTTCTGTGTGCTCACGTGCACCCTGCTTCGTTGATTCAAAGGGCCTTGCTAAGCAAGCTCTCTGCAGCTGAGCTGGATCTTTGAACCAATATTTTGTACTTAGAATGACAGGACCTTTTGCTCCAAATGTGATGTTTCTCCTCTGTGAAAGTCCAAGTTTGCATATGAGCATGTTCAGTGTTACATATGTGATTGGGACTCAGTTATCCATGGTGGAAGAAACTGTAATTTTGTTTCCTGCTATTTTCTAGCTCACGGTTATGAAAAGCGTTTCGTTGTCTAGAAAGCGGTTAGGATCTAGAAACTAATAGGTATGTTGTCTGTCAGGGTTACCTTAATAAGGAGCGGCAGACTGTGCCTGAAATACTTTCCTCACGGATGTCAAGGCTAGAAGCCCAGTTCTTAGGTTGGTTATATAGACTGACTGCTGACCCTCACAGCACAAGGGTCCTCCTCCCACACCCCCTCCTACACCCACTTGTGTCACAGGTGATGCTTATGGCTGCAACTTCAGGGAGGTGGTGGGCTCAGAGCGTGAGCAGCCAGACCCCAGCGCCTGCCCTCAGCCGCTTCGCTAAAGCCAGGTGTACAGTCTATGTGCTCGTTGGTATTTTAGGCTTTGGCTTTGCTGCTCCTCCTCAGTTACAGAGTGCTTGCTGGCATTTCTGCTCTCAGGGAAGAAGCCACACATTTCTACAGAGACCTGTGATTATGACAACCTGCCATCACTTTTATGTCTCCTTAGGTACCCCGGTTCAGAATGACCTGCAAGAGTTTTTCGCATTAGTTGATTTTGTTAATCCAGGAATATTAGGCTCTTTGTCGTCTTATCGGAAAATATATGAAGAGCCCATCATTACTTCAAGAGAACCTTCTTCTTCCAAGGTATAGTTTACGTTAATGATTTTTTTTTTTAAAGAGCAGTATGTCTGGAAGAATCATAATTTCAGTATTCATGTCTATACTGTATTTTATTAAATCTAAGATTCTACCAGTAATAATCTATACCACCATTCCATGTATCACTAAAGAGAACACTGCTACAAATTAGGAAATCATTGATTGTTAAAATGCGTCTCAGAGGCTCAGGCCCGATTGCTGTACATTTTAGGGCAGTCTGGACTACAAAGTATGACAGTTTAACACACACACACACACACACACACACACACACACACACACACACACACACCAGGCGGGGGTAGCACACCTCAGGAAAAGGCAGTATAAGCTGGAGAGCAGCAGCAGTGCGTTCCAGGACAGCCAGAGCGTCATAGTGAGAGCACATAAAAACACTGCCAAGTAAAAACAACCCAAAAAAACCATGAATCCCAAATCTAACGGTATTAGTTTACTGTTTGTTTGTTTGTTTGGTGATTGTCTCTTGTAGCTCAGGCTGACTTTGAACTGATCCACCCTTTACCCCAGTGCTGGGATTACAGGTTTGTGCCACAAACACAGTTTTACTAGGCGCTAAGTAGAACAAACCTAGGGCTTCTTCCCCAGGAGACATGCAGTCTGAAAACTGAGCCCCATGCCCAGAGCCATGTATTGTCCTAGAGGAGTTTAAATGAAAAGGTAACTTTTCAACATACATTTTAAAAAGCATCTTACATGAATCATAAACGGTACAAAGTAATGGCTTACGTGAATATTTAATAATTGCATGGAAAATGTCATGGCATATTACATTTACAAAAGGTTAGTCAGTCATTGCTCTGATAGGGTTTTTATTTTTGTTTGTTTGTGGCAGGGATTTATCATGTAGCCCAGGCTGTCCTGACACTCACTGTCTAGACCAGGTTGTCCTTCAGCTCACAGATCCACCTGCTCTATTAAGTGCTGGGATCAAAGGCATGTACCACCTCACCCAGCCCAATCTAACACATATTTCAAATACTGCACGTGGATCAGAGGCTAAGAAGTTTGCGATGGAGGAATGCAAAGATGAGCCAAAATGACTGGTTCCTTTTTTGCATGAAGTTTCATTGTTTGAGATTGTATCTCTTGCTACAAATAATGATATATCATTTCGTACTTTTATAGAGAAATGCTACTTAAAACACAAATATTTAAAAAATTTCCTTTTGTGTGTGTAGCAAGGCATGTGTGTGGTCAGAGGATAGCTTTCAGGAGTTGGTTCTTTTCTCCCGTCATGTGGCTTATGGGTCCCAACATTTTTTACCTACTGACCCAGCTCACCAGTTCAACAGTGGTTGTTTTTGGTTGGTAAAAATAGACGTTAGATGTTTGTAGTTCTAGGTAGAACTATAGTTTCTGTAGAGTGTATTTGCTCATAAGTCACTCCACACCAATTGCCCTGCCAGCTCCTTGTGGATTAATAGTGCGGGTCCCTCTTCCAACTTAGTGTCTTTTTCACAAAACAGCCCACTGAATCCATTAGTGCAGCCCGTGTGTGTCTAGTGTAGGCCATTTACTGGACCACAGCTAGGGCTTGGGGTACCCCCCCCCAAACCATGCTGTATTGATGACTGGCTGATCATGTACAGGCAGCCGTAGCTGCTAGGAGTTCATGACTGGCCTGGTCCCGTCACGCCCAGAAGGTACTGTTCTGCTCTCCTTCTCCCACCTCTGGTATACAGTCTTTCTCTCTTTCTCCTGGAGCTTCTGAGATATTCCCCCAGCCTTGGGAGGAGAATTTGCTTGTGTTTTTAAAGATGTATGTTCTTACAACTGTTAAATGAACGCTTATTTTCAGAATAGGGTTTCCATGGTGTCAGTAACCAAACAATGATAAGGAGATTGCGGTTAATTAAATGATTATACCAAAATTATACCAAACATTTGATGGGGGGGGGGAGAAAAACTAATATTAAGAATGTTTGAAAAGACTGTATAAAAACCCATTTAATATGGTATTTGTAGATATATTTATTATAATCTATATTATACACAAACATGAGTTTAAGGAGATAAAACTCGCTCTTATAGGCCATAGACTGCCTAAAACTGTGTGGTGTCAGGTGTGAGATAGCGCTCCTTGCTGTTGGTCAGGGGTATCTGGAGATGCCCAAACAATGTAGGTTCATGCTATTGTACCTGGTTTTCCACCAGAACTTGATGGTAGAAACCCTATGCCTGACGATACTACACATTTTGGTCACAGGACGTGGAGAAATTAAATTGGTTCTGACCAGGAGGTTCCCTTCTGCTGGAGAGCTTTCACAGTACTAGAAGGTGCGGTGTAGGTTTCTGGGAGAGAAAAATAATCAAAAGTCTTACTTTGCTGTGAGCCTGTGAGCTGCAGTAACAACTGGTGGCAAGAGCTCATGGGTGCAGTAGCAGCATAAACCCGGCAGCAGTGGCCAACTGCTTTCTGACTGGATTTAAGGCCTGCTGCACAGGAGGAAATACAGCTGGGTATTGTAGGTCAGGCCAGCAACCTTTCCTTGGTGAATGGTGGACGCAGTGTCTTACTTTCCTCTTTCTATCTTTAGATCAGTGCGGCCCCCAGACTTCATCAGAGAACTTTGTTTGTTCAGTGGATGGTAACTAACACAGAAACTCATGGAGTACAGTATGCAGCCACAAATAGGATGTTTACATTAGACCCCTCCCTCAAGGCTCAGGGACTGTCGCAGAAGAGAGACTGGGAAGATTGTAAGAATCAGAGGTTAGGCTGGCAAAACAGTGTCTTCTGGACATGAGAGCACCATTGCCTTAATGGACTCACAGCAGCCTTGGCCTCTGTACAAGATCAAACCAGTCAACAGTTCTTTAGGGAGGGTCCCATGAGCTCCTGCCTGTGGCTGAGGAGCTAATGACAGCTGATGGCTTTTGGGAGAGGGTTAACCAGTTTTCTTCGAGGATGTGGCACCTGGCACCCATGAGTACGTGGGTAGCACAAATTGGAGTTGGTCAGTGACTTAGCTACTGTTTTATTTCTGTGAAGAGACATCCTGACCAAGGCAATTCTTATAAAAGAAGGCATTTCACTGGGGACTTGCTTACAGTTTCAGAGGCTTAGTCCATTAAGATTATGTCGTGGAGCATGGCGTCAGGCATGGCAGGCATGATGCTGGAGAAGTAGTTGAGAGAGACATCCTGATCTGCAGGCACAGAGAGAGTGAGAGAGAGAGAGAGAGAAAGAGAAGAAGGAGGAGGGAGGGAGAGAGAGAGAGAGAGAGATTGGGCCTGCTGTGGGCTTTTGAAATCTTAAAGTCCACCCCCAGTGATAACTTTCTTCAAAGGCCACACCTCCTGATCCCTGAAATCCTTTTAAATAGTGACACTCCCTGGCAACTGAGCATTTAAATACATGAGCTAGTGTGGGCCATTTTTATTTACTCCACAGTGTTTTTTTTTTTTTTCTTTTAAGAACAAAAAGTTGGGAGGTGTGGGGGAATTGGGGTTCATCTGGGAAGAACTAGAGGGAGTAGTAGGGGGAGAATGTGATAAAAATACATTGTATACATATAGGAAAGTCTCACAGAATTAATAAAAAGTATATATTTTTAAAAGACTGTGATGGGTTTCTACGTTGTTTTTCTCCAGTGCTGGGAATTAAACCCAGGGCCCTGCACATATTCTCCTATTGCGTTATACCTCGGATAGTATGGTTGGGTCCTCTTCCCCCATACTTGTATTTCATCTGTACTGTTGGGAAAGGTCAACGTCACTTGGCAGTGCCATGTGCTGTAATCTCAGCATTCTGGGGGAAGAGGCAGGACGATTGAACTCAAGAGCAGGCTGGGCCATGTGGTGAGTTTCAGGTTAGCCTGAGCTATTGTAGTGGGACTTTGTCTCAAAAGTCATCCGTTTCTCCGCCTAAAATCTGATGGAAATAATTAATGATGGCTCATTATTGTATAATATTGCAGGTTCATCTTAACTATAGCTACAGGTATTTTTGTACATACTGGTTAAATCTGCTCCTTTTTCCATAGGAAGAAAAAGAGTTAGGAGAGAAAAGAGCAACTGAACTCACGTGCCTCACTGGACGTTTTATCCTTAGAAGAACGCAGGAGGTCATCAATAAGTATCTTCCCCCTAAGATAGAGAACGTAGTCTTTTGCAGACCGGGAGCACTGCAGATTGAACTTTACCGAGCGCTGCTGAGTTCTCAGTCTGTCAGGTCGTGTCTGCAAGGACTCTTGGAAAACAGCCCTCACCTCATCTGCATAGGAGCCCTGAAGAAACTGTGCAACCATCCTTGCCTTTTGTTCCACTCTGTGAAGGTGAGTAGTGTGGACATTTCTAGGCCTGTTGTGTGGCTGGAGAGTCCCAGAAGGCAGATTGTGCTCAGCCATGGAGTGCCTGGCGTGGCGTTTGTGAGGGTGTGAAATGCTCAGTAGCCCCTCCCCGTGCGGTTTTGCTGTGGAACGTCTCCATCCTTTGCCACGGGTCTCTCCCTTCCTATCTTATATTAATAGAGTCATTTGGTTTTATGTGATGCTAACAAATACAGAACTTAGCACTAAAATAACTTATCTTTCTTTTTATAAAAGTCATGTGTGATTGTTGCATAAAATTTGGAAAATTCAGAAAAATCCACAAAAAGAAAATCAACACACTGGCCTGGCTCTCACACCTGTAATACTTGCATGTGGGAGGTGGAGGCAGGAGGATTGTGTTCATTTTTGAGGTCAGCCTGGGCTAGAGAGTAAGATTCTGTTGCAGAACAGAAATTAAACAAAAATAAAAATAGGTAGAGAGATGGCTCAGTGGTTAAGAGCACTGTCTGCTCTTCCAAAGGACCCGGGTTCAATTCCCAGTACCCACATGGCCCTTACAACTGTCTGTAATGCCCATTCCAAGGGATCTGACACCTTGACGCTAATGCACATAAAATAAAGATAAATGAATATTAAAAAATAAATAAATAAAAATAAAAAAATAAAAATTTTTATACACTCTCCAGCCAGAGAAAAACCACATTTTGATATTATTAACAGTGCTAGCTAATAGTTATTAAGTATATCAGTATTCCAAGAATAAAGTGCTTTTCTGGTTTTATTTTATTTATTCTTTACACAACTGTCTGGAATAAAAATGACTACTGTCACCCTATTTTTGTTAAGAGGGGGTTTTGCTGTTTTGCCAAGGCTAGTATTATATTTCTGAGCTATAATCTCTTCCTTCAGCCTTCAGAATAGCTGGGACAGGAAGTACCTGCTACTGTGCTCGGCTTCTATCCTTATTTGTGGCTCACACCTTTAATCTCAGCACTCAGCACTCAGGAGGCAGAGACAGGCAAATCTCTGAATTCAACGCCAGCCTGTTCTATAGAGGGAGTCCCGGACAGCCAGGGGAAAGAAAAAGAAAGAAAAGCAGGAAGGAAGGAAGGAAGGAAGGAAGGAAGGAAGGAAGGAAGGAAGAAAGAAAGGAAATAGTAACTGAGAGATGTTTGTATATAATCTTATTCTAGAACATTCCTAAGATTAGATTGCTTTTGTATGTGTGAATTTGAATAATGACGTCGTAGAGTCAACTGTTTGCATACTTAATGACCATAAGGCAGTCTGCAGCATGGTGAGAACTTTTGAGATTATAACTGGTATCAGTTTCTCAAGCTGTACCTGTAATTCTTTTCGCTGAGACATCTCATGCAGCTCAGGTTGGCTTTGAGTTCCATCTGTAGCTGAGTATGACCCTGGATTCTGTGTCTCATTGTCTTAATTTCCCAGCAGCTAGGATTGCAGGCATGCACCGCTATTCCCAGCTCTTAATTCTTGAACTTTTGGCACATTTCTGTACTTAATCTGTGTCTGTAAGCATTGGTTTCCTTATCCGGAAGACCGAGCCAATAATTGCTTTGTGACGACACCGTTATGATAATTTAACAAGAAGTTATGGGAAGAACCGAACAGAAACTCCTGGTTAAAGAAATTGCACAATAAGCAATGACATTTCCAGCTCACCATGGGAAGCTTTTATTCAATTCTTTGAACAGTAAAATCCAAATATCTTTTTAAATAATCTTCCCCCCAAAAAACTGTGGGTGCTAGCTTATGTATGAGATCATTATTTATATACACAGAGAGTGGATTATTCTAACAGAATTCTCCAATCCCACAGCGGATCCTATCTATTAGTTTATCGTAGAAGTGAGCTTTGTGTAAATCTGCAGAGGGCTGGATTATAACAATTCATTAAGCAACTTTTAAAGAAACAGATTCTATATACAGCAGTAAAAATTAAACCCCCTGGGCATGAAGCCCAGGAAAAATAGAAGCCAAAAATTCTTCCTTAAAAGGAAGAAATGGTGATGGCCCAGAATACATCACTTAATTTAGAGTGTTTTTGCATATTCTCTCTGTGTTTGTGTATTGATATGTAGGGGTGTGTGTGTGTGTGTGTGTGTGTGTGTGTGTGTGTGGTGTATGTGAATGTGTGTGTCCACCTGACATTGTCAAGTTCTTTAAGTGTAAGCATATTCAAATATTTAAACTAAACCCTGGGTCAAGACTTCTTCAAATTATAGGCCTCTTATGTAGATCTAACCTGTTATAGATTCTTCACATTCTACAGATACTTAATTAAGTGACTTTGCCTAAGTATTATTATTTTTTTTTTCTTGTTGAAATTAAAATTACAATTACCAGAAAGGTTTGTTTAGTACTACTAAAAAGGGACTATAACATGCAAGTACTTAAGGGGAGTTAACAGTGTTTACAGTTAACCACTCAGTTAGATAAGGTCAAAGATGAGTGCAGTGTGTATAAAGGAGACAAACTGCAGGCACGTAGGCACACTCCTTTAATCTCAGCTCTCAGGAAGCAGAGGCAGGCGCTCCTCTGAGTTCAAGGCCCATTTAGACCACACAGGGACTTCTAGGCCAGGCTGGTCTCTAGGGCGAGATTCAGAAAAGGAAGTTGAGATTCGAACTGGGCCCTCAAGTCTTTATAGAACTAAGATAACAGCAGGAAAGGAAGAGGCTTTCCAGGCGGGCAGCGGTGTAGGCTGAACAAAGTTTTAGAAAAAGAGGATTCAGTAAACTAGGAAGAGTGAAGAGACCTGCCAATCTTGACCATTTAACATAAAAAGGGATTGTCATCTGTCACTGCAATTTTGTCTATGTATTTCTATGTCAGCTGGGCATTTAGGAAAGAATATCAGAGGTGCTTGTAATCACTTTGGAATAAAGGGAATCTGAGTTAAATAGGGGCCCTGGGTTCACTATCCAGCATACATCCACCACAAATTCTGGTAAATAAGCAAAATGTGCTATAAGATAGATTTCTCTGTTAGCTTATTGATGACGTCATTACGTCTTATGAAGAAACTGGTGTGAGCCGAGTGCTTGTTTTAGCTTGTCATTTGGGAGATGTTGTGAGAAAAAGTAGTAGGGAGGAAACGAGAGAGTGAGATAGAGTAAGGAGTGTTGGTAGGGGTTACTGGGGGGTTGGAAAGGCCCGGGAGCTCCTTGGGAGGCTGGGTGCTGCTTCGGAAGTGGCAATTGTGACCTACAAAGATTGACTTCACAGTGAGCTTGGACTCCCCTTAACTTTGCTCCTTACTTATTAGACAGTAAACCTGAACCAGTATTAACTCACATTTGAACAGGGGAAAGAGTTTAGCTCAAGTTGTGATGAAACTGAAGAAAGGAGCCTGTGCAAAGGCTTGCTGACTGTGTTCCCTGCTGGCTATGACCCTCTGCAGTTCACTGAGAACGAGTCAGGAAAACTACAGGTGTTGGTAAAGCTCCTGGCAGCCATCCACGAACTGCGACCCACGGAAAAGTAAGCCCTGTGTCCAGCCATTCATGTTTTTGTCACCATGTCCTACCTTTACAGTCCTCCCTGAACTCGGTTTCTTTGGTTTGCTTTCTCCAAAGAATAAAATTTTCCAAGTCACCTAGTCATGTGGAACAGGGACCAGGGTTTCTGTGCTCTGATATTCTGAACTCCTTTCTTGTGGGGAGCCTGAGCAAGATTTTAAGGGATAGTGGGTTGGGGGGTGGCTTTGCAGTTAGGAGCACATACCGCTTTTCCAGGAGGACCTGAGTTTGGTTCCCAGCACCTACGTCAGGTAGCTAACAACTGCCTGTAACCCCACCTGCAGGAGTTCTGACACCCTCTTCTGGCCTCCGTGGGTAGCTGTGCTCATGTGCACATGGTTAAAATGAAAAGACTGTGAGGTGCGAATACTTGGTGTGGATTTTCGCTGGACCCTGCCCTGCATTAGCCGTCCCTCCGTGCCACCGTTAAGGCCAGCCTGTCCCTGCTTTACGTTTTTCCTTGTTTACATGATAGACTTTGTGCTTTTGTTCCTTTTATTCCTTTTTAGGGTGACGTAGAAGTGAAGGAGGCGAGGTCTTTGTTTTACCATCTGAAAGCTGAAGTGTGGATAGGGACTCCAGAGAAGGGAGGCGTCCCCGGGGTTTAGTTATCCAGTCCCGCCACTGCTTCTTCTGTAGTATCAGCTCTCCTTCACCTGAAAAACCTAAGACACTGCTTTAACACCGGAGTAACGAAGTTTTGTTTTTGGTTGACAGAGTGATTTTGGTATCCAACTACAGAAAAACCTTGAATATCTTAGAAGAAGTGTGCAGGCGCCACGGATATGCTTGTGCAAGACTTGATGGTCAAACACCGGTCTCTCAAAGGCAGCAGATTGTTGACAGTTTCAATAGTAAATACTCCACTGATTTGATTTTTTTATTAAGTTCAAAAGCTGGTGGTGTGGGACTTAATCTTATTGGAGGGTCCCACTTGATTCTCTATGATATTGACTGGAACCCAGCCACTGACATCCAGGTAGGAATGCTTATGCAGTGAGTTGACCTTTCGAATGCCTGGGAGTGCAATTGGGATGATGTGTAAATAGTTGTTGCGTGTCGGGCTCTTGTTGTGGAGCAGGCTTTCCAGTTACCGTCTCTTTAACGTTCACAGCACCTCCACATAGGATCTCAGTAGCATAGGTGTTCTGTGTGAGGAGAGATGGAAACTTGTCTTGCAGCATGAGAATTCAAACCCAGGCTTCGTGTTACGCCCTTCAGCTAGGCGTGGAGGGTGTTCATGAGCACGGGGATGGCAGTGACCTGCTGTGGTCAATTTGTGTAGGCCGCAGTAAGGCTACGTTAACCTCTTAGAGAAGCCCATGGTTGTCTTCAGTGAGCAGTCCACTTTCGTGCGTTTTGAGGTTCTGTAGGCATGAAGTACCTCCGTGACTGCCTGAGGAATTATTCAATTATCATCTTCTCCAGAGGCCACACACATTTATGTCATTTGAAGCTGGGTGTGATAGAAGGTTGAAGGATGATTGTGGAAATAAAACGCGCACTGAGCACGGACTCTAAGACTTATGCTTCCATAGGAGAGAAAGGAGTTGAGGGAAAGAGAATAAACCTGATTTCAGGATCCAGGCTGCCTGTGGACAGAGAGAAAACAGGCACTTTATTGATTCTTAGGTGCCCTCTGGTTTGTCGGTCTTAGGAGTGGCACTCATCGAAATCTTTATGTCACAAGTTGAGGGATTTTCTTTTCTAAACTTTGTTTATGAGGTAGAAGCCGATGGCCAGGCATGCTGGCATTGTCCTGTTCCTGGTGGGGTTTTCCCGTTTGGATAAAGTGAGGATAAGGGCCAGCCGCATGCAAACATTGTTAATAAGAGAGGAAGTCAGTAGCAGGCTCCATGGAGTAAGAGCATGAGAACATAGCGTCTCCTGTCTCTACTGTGTTGCTGTTACCTTCAGTTGGAGGCGGCCAGTCTCAGGAGTGTGCAGGGTCTAAACCTCAACCCTTTACTGCACAGTATCAGTGTTAATCTTTAATCCAGAGGGAGCCCAAAGTGACTGCAGATGCCTTAAGGAATTTTCAAGGGTGAATTATTAGCTGCTTGGACACTCCGTGCCCAGGCTGTGCTTGGTTCTTTGTATCTTGGCCATCCAAATTTGCTCTTTCATTGTTTGATCACGGTACCTACCTCCCTGTTGCATGGCACTCCTAAAGCTGTTTCACACGCCTCCAGGAGTGCCTAGCCTCCCTCTCTGAACCCAGGTCAGAGATGAAAAGAGGGCTCGTTGTATGTGTGTGTGTGTGTGTGTGTGTGTGTGCGCGCGCGTGTGTGGGTGTGTGCGCGCGCGCTTGTGTGCTGTGGTATGTGTGTGGAGGTCAGAGGGCAGCTTTCAGAGGCTGGTTCTCTCTTACAGTGTAGGTTCTGGGCCCCACAATGGCATGTCATGCTGGCGCTCTTACCCCTGAGCATCTTGCTGGCACCTTACTCTGTTTTTGACGCTATTAGTGAAATCCAGAACTCCCAGTAGTAAAATATATTCCTGCAAATTGCTCATGTGGCAAGGGCCATCGGTTTCTACTGTACTCAGAATTCTTATTTTGTCTAGGCTATGTCTAGAGTATGGAGAGATGGTCAGAAAAACCCCGTACATATTTACAGACTCCTGACTACAGGTAAAAGATCTTCGCGCAACAAAAATGTATCTCCTTGAATTCTTTTTGTTAGTCTATGCCTCAATATCTGGAACATATCCTTTTATCAGATAATAAGTAACAGACATGTTTACCCAACGCAAGTCATAGATGCAAGAAGGAAATCTAATAACTGCCTTTCCTCCCCAGGTACAATAGAGGAAAAGATCTATCAAAGGCAGATCAGTAAGCAAGGCCTTTCTGGGGCAGTTGTAGACCTAACCAGGTCATCCGAGCACATCCAGTTTTCGGTGGAAGAGCTTAAGAACTTGTTCACATTACATGAAAATTCCCGCTGTGTCACTCATGACCTGCTCGAGTGTGAGTGCTCAGGGGAAGCAGGTCACGCCGGTGAGTTGATCCCATTACCTCAGTGCAGTCACTTCGTCTCTGCAGCCCTTACAGAGGGACTTGAAAACATCTCCATCTGCGTGTGCTAGCTTTCTTTGTCCCGGGTTGTGGGACAATTACTCGGTGTGTGCTTGAGAAAGTGTTTGGTAGAACCGTGTGCTCTGTTTAGTTTGTTTCTAAATCTGTTGTGAAAAAATTAACTTATGTAGGCCAATCTCTCAAAGCCTGGTAGGATGGCTTCACACGTAAGCAAATATTTTATATTTTTTATTGCAATTTCATGAAAATCCTATACTTAGTAGAATTATCTACTGTTTGTTTAACTCGTATAAGCCTTATTCATAATGGGGCCAGACTTTGAGGCACTTAGAATAATCAACCGTTCTTCTCAGTACTTGACTGCTGGCGTTGTTTAAGTAAGCCTGAAAATATCTGCCTCTAAACTCAGACACTGCTCACTGGGAGCTAGATGAGGCAGGATGCGAGAGAGCCCTGACCACGGGTGGGAAGTCACTTGGTAAATGACATTGTTAGGGTCTAGAGAGATGACTCAGCAGTTAAGAATGCTTGCTGCACAGCTGTGAGAACTGGAATTTGGATTCTAGCACTAACAGACTGCACATGTTTTTTTTGTGTACATGGTACGTGCAAAGTGCAAATGGACTCCCCCACTCATGTGTACATATACTCACCTGACTCGTAGACACCCAGACATAAATTATAAAATAAATCTTCAAGAGACTAAAAAAATACTGTGATATTTAAGAAGTTACTCTTCTGAGTTTGAGGCCAGCCTGGTCTACATAGTGAGTCCAGGACAGCCAGGGCTACACAGAGAAACCCTGTCTCTAAAAATATAAAAAATAAAAAAAGTTATTTTTTAACTTTTTTTAAGGGAGGAGTTGGAGGTGTGTAAATGAGGTAAATGCAGTACTTATATATGAAATTCTCAAAAACAAAGCATGTACGTACATATTAAATTGATGTTCATGTACATACATACACAGATATACTCATTAATACCCATCTTGTACATATGTATTTCCTTTTGTGGTTTTAGAAGTTGAATCCAGAGCCCTGAGCATCCTCAGTGAGCACTCTACGTGAGTGCCAGGCTACAAGCCCAACTAGATTATATAGCAGATAATCTAGTTATACGTAGTTGTACATATTCTGAAATTTGTATTAGACATACTAGAAGTCATAAATTTGGTTATGCATAATCATAATTGTATTTCAGTTACAATGATATAATATCTGTTTATTAGGGGGTGGACTTTATTTTACTTGTTTAGCTTTTGAGGCAGAGTCTTACTATGTCAGAGCAGCTCTGGCTGGTCTGGAACTTGTTGTGTAGACCAGGCTGGCCTTCATCTCATAGATAGTTATCTTAACCCTGCATTAGGGGTAGATTTAAAACTTCAGATAAATATTTTCCTTTTTCTCTTCATGAACATTTGGTTCTATTGTGTATTTTTTGTTTGTTTGTTTATTTCGTAGAACTTTTTCTTTCCTCCTCCTCCTTCTTCTAAAGCCAAGTTCTTCTTCGGTGGCCTGGGATGGCTTCAGATTCCCTTTGTAGCCCAGGCTAGCCTGGAACACATCTTCCTGCCCCAGTCTTTCAAGTGCTGAGATGATGGCTGTGCGCCACCACGCCTGCCCTTTTATTACCTGTTACTTATTAGTGTCTGTTATGGTAGTTAGAGATTCAGCCTAGGGCCTCAGGGCTCCTGGGCAAGCTTTCTCCTTCTGAGCTGTATCAACAACCTTCTTTTCCATTTTTTATTTTGAGGCATAATCTCCCCAGGTTGCCAAAGCTGGCCTTGAAGTTGCAAGCCTTCTATCTCAGCTTCCCAAGTAACAAATACGGTCTTGAGCTACTAGGCGTGGTTTTCTGTTGTAATGTATGTAGCTCTTTTTTGTCTTTTCAGTTGAATACTTGGCTTAGTGATTTTCTTTTCTTTTTTTCTTTTTTGGTTTTGTCAAGACACAGTTTCTCTTGTGTAGCCCTGGCTCTCCTAGAACTCACTATGTAGACCATGCTGGCTTCAAACTCAGAGCTCTTCCCACCTCTGCTGGGATTACCACCACCGCCTGGTATGGCTTAATGGTTTTCAAACTTATTTTATAAATGGCTTTTAATTCTTTAAATTTCTTCTGTGTGAAGTCCCATAAATTTGATATTCTCAAATTACTTTTAAATATTTCATATTTTCTATTGTTATTTCCTCTTTACTCATGATTTATTTAAAAAATCTAGTCCTTAACATATATGTGTGAGTGTGTGTGTGTGTGTGTATGTGTGTGTGTAATACTAAATGGACCCAGCAGGGTGTGTGTGTGTGTAGCAATAATTATCCTAAAAGTGTCCATAAGTTTCACAGTGAGTGGGATGTGGAGTAGTTGGGGGTGTGTAAATTATATAAATACAATGCATTTACTGCACAGTTTTAGAAATAGCAATATGCTGAGCAAGAGTGAGTTCCTTTCCCCCTCAGCTGTGGTGTCGTCCATTGGATGAATATATCACAATTTATTTCCTACCACCCAACCGCTGTGTAGCCGGTTACATACTCTCATTTATGGGCCCTTGCCATGCAGTCAAGTATGTATTTGTCAGATAACTTATTGATGTTACTGGTGACCAGAGGTGTCTGTAATTCCAGCTGTAGGGATGTGCGTTTCTGGCCTTGGGCTTCTGAATTCCCATGTACTCAGCCACACACAGACACACAAACTGCATAATTCAAAAGAATAAAGACAGGCCTTTAAAGAAAGCCTAACCTAAATTGATGGGTTCTTCAGTAGTGTTTTTGACTCATTTATAGGAAGCCATTTCACAGTCTTATTCCTGTGCTTGCTGCAGAAATGAGTGGCTTCCATTGCTGGAGTTCTGACCCGGATGTTTGTGTTCGCAAATCCGTAACACGGAGAAATAACCACAGGCCTTGTTTATTAATCAGTGCTGGGGATAGGGCCAAAGGCCTTACGCACACTCCACCCTCAGCTCTGTCCAGAGGCTTGAGACGACAGACTGTGGATTTGTGACCCTTTCTTCGAGAAGCTCTTTGTCTATCTTTCTTACTAGACCATGAAGCCGTTGGATTCAGAGGCCGGGTGGTCTGTTGAGTGCGCAGTCAGCAGCCTACCCCCATTTGTAATGAGGGTGGATGACTGAACGCTTTAGTCTGAACTGTGGTGATCAGACGTGACGCATCGCATGGCTCTCTCCGCATAGAGCGGGGCATCTGCTGTCCTAAGGGGCCTCACTGTTGTCATTTCAGATGATGCATCGGAACCGCCCGCCACCTCTAGACAGTGTCAGCTTGGCCCTCAGAAGCCTAACTCCTTGAGACCTCTCTCCATGTCACAGCTGAAGCAGTGGAAACATTTTTCTGGAGACCATTTAAATCTCCCAGACCCATTTCTCGAGAGAATAAGGGGAAATGTGTCATTCTTTTTCCAGAATATAACCAACCAAGCTCCTGCCGTCTAACGAAGGACTACTTCCTACCATTCCTTTGCTCCCTTAAAAACTAATAGAGGAATAAATGTAATATTGAGAATAACATTACCTGAGTTATAAGGGTAGACTTTGTTCTAATATATGTCAGTTTAATTACAATAAAATTGTTTGCTTTCGTGTGTGTACCCTTCAGGGTTGAAAGTGAAACACCAATGATGTGCTGTCATCTTGCTTCTGCTCGTGCGTGAGTCCGTGATCCACACACTTGATCCAGTGTCGGCAGTTTAATTTGCCTTTCCCTGAGGGCCAAGGCTATCGCACACTTTCTTGAGTATTTATTGGCTGTTTCTTCGTTTGAGAACTGTCTCTGTAGTTCATTACCCCTTTTATTGATGGGATGATTTAGGGTTTTCTGCTGTTTAATTTTTGTGCCTCTTAATGTATCCTGGCTCGGAATCTCCAGGTGAGGAGCTGGCTAAGATTTCCCACTCTGCAGGCTGGCCTCCATCCTGGTGATGGTTTTCTTTGCAGTGTAAGGGCTTTGTCTTTGTTGATGCTTTTAGACATGGAGACCAAGGAAGGAAAAGCAAGCCAGGAACGGGAGCGGGTCGTTGGGCTGGCAAAGAGCAAGTGCTCCGGGCCGCTTCCTGTTAAGAAAACCCCTGCCTATGCCTGTGTCTTGAAGGGTCTGTGTGGGTGGAACCTGGTGCTTGGAGGACCTTAGGGGAGGAGTCTGGCCACTACTGTGCCTCAAGGGGATTAACAGTGACTCTAGGTTTATTTCTGGGTCCTGTCTTCCATCTGTTCTACTTGTTTGCTTTGTGCCAATACCATGGTTTTGTTGTTGTGACCGTAGCTGTAATGTGTAATAGTTTTTGAGATCGTATATTGTGATAATGATTGCTTTAGTTATTAGAGGCGTTTTGTTCTTCTAGATATAGTTTAGGATTCTTTTTCCTAGTTCTGAGAAGCACGCCATTGTGATTTTAATGAGATTGTATTTAATCTGCAACTGGTTTTGCAGTATTTTTGCAATATTTTGCCAAACCATGGGGGTGTCTTTCCATATTCTAATAAGTTTTTCAATTTATTTTTTTTCAGTGCCTTAAAGTTTTTATTCTAGAAATTAATCTTGGGTAGTTTTTGTTTGTTTGTTTATTTTTATTTTTTTTGAGACATGGTTTCTCTGTGTAGCCTTGGCTGTCCTGGACTCCCTTTGTAGACCAGGCTGGCCTCACAGCAATCTGCCTGCCTCTGCCTCCCTGAGTGCTGGGACTTATGGCCTGTACCACCACGCCCGACTGGTAGTTTTTTTTTTTAAAAGGCTCTCATAATGGGATACTCTCGTGCTTTGACTTTTTCTTGAGTTCTTACTATTCTTTAAAAAAAAAAAAAATGCTGTTGCTTTTTACATGTGGATTTTTTTTTTTGGACAGTGTCTTATGTCCAGCTTCACGCCTGTTATGTAGCTGGCTTTGAACATCTAATCCTCCTTTCTCCATCTCCCCAGTATTGGAATTCTTTGAGTACTCTACCAGCCTGGTTTATATTATGCTAGGGATTGAACCCAGGGCTTTGTGTATGCTAGGGAAACAGGCTGCCAGCTGAGTTGGAATCTCGAGCATGCTGATTTTGTGTTTTGCTACTTTGTTGAAATTGTTTTGTTTTTAAAATAACCTTTTAGGAGCTAAGAAGATGTTCAGTAGATAATGCTTGCTAGTACTTTTTAAGTGATATATTACAGATGTTCAATGCTTTGCCTTTATTAGTGTCTTGGTTAGGGTTTTATTGCTGTGAAGAGACACCATGATCAAGGCAACTCTTACAAAGGAAAACATATAATCTGGGGGCTTACAGTTTCACGGGGTCAGTCCATTATCATCATGGCAGGAAGCATGGCAGCCTTCAGGCAGACATGGTACTGGAGGAACCGAGAATTCTACATCTTGTTCTGAAGGCAGCCAGAAGGGTAGATGTGTTCCACATGGCTCGCTTAAGCATTTAGAACCTCAAAGCTGCCACCACAGTGACACACTTCCTCCAGCAAGGCCACATCTCCATCAATAAGTCCACAGCTCCTAATTGTGTCATTCTCTATGGTCCAAACATTCGAATACATGAGTCTATGGGGCCAAACCTATTCAAACAACCACAGTTAGCGACCCTGTGTGATAGGCTTAAGTGTTAGATGAGCCTGGTTCCTCTTTGCTCAGGGATACATATAAGCCATTCGTGAAACCTGAAGATGTAGGGAGGGTGAATACCAAAGTATGAGTAATTCCATGGGGGTAAACTGATGATAGCTGGAGAGATGGCTCAGTGTTGAGAGCTCTGGCTGTTCTTCCAGAGGACCTGGGATCACTTCCCAGCACCCACATGGCAGCCCAGAATTGTCTGTAACTCCAGTTTCAGGGGATTCAACAACCTAATACAGACATACATTAGGCAAACCACCAATGCATGTGAAGTAAAAATAAATAAACAGATTACTTTAGAGTTCATCCTGATCTTTATTTGGAAAGACACTCTATTAAAAGTTGGGTGACCTTTCAGTACCACTGTGTTTCTATCCAATGTGACAGAGGGAGATAAGTTTGGAATTCTGAAGACAAGACAGGTAAGCACAAGACAAAGCGAGATTGTAGAAGGAACTGACTGGCTTAGAGGAAAGCCCGGAAGTTGAGGACAGGTAGCACTTGATGAGCAGAAGTAGATGTCTCCTAATCTCCAGCGGTTTTCATTCTAAGAAGGACGGGAGGTGGCTGTCTCTCCATCGCTGTCCAGTCTGAACTCTTTCCCTGAGGATACAGTCTCATGCGTCCAAGAAGAGGCCGAGCCTCATGAGAGATGCCATGTTTCACCGGGACAAAGCCTGTGTGATGTGGGAGTTCTGGGGCTGAGAAGCAGAGATGCTGAGCTCCCTGGGACTCAGAAGACTTTGGACCTTAATAGGCCAGGGGCTGTGTTCAGAGGCCCGTGTTAAGATCTGGGGAATATATAGAAGACGGTTCCTGTGTTCTCGGAGTTGACTCTGCTGTGTGGCAAGTAACGCGTTCTCTCGTAACTGCTGGCTTGCTTTGCGCTCCTGTCCTCTCACTGACTTCCTTGAAGACAGGGACTTCATTTTGTTCATGCTTCTTCAGTCTCCGAGGCACATGACGGCTGCTCAGAACTTGAGTGGCTGATATGCTTCACCTCCCCTTTAGCTCTGTTGGGTTCTTCGCTCATAGATTGTGTTTTAAAGTGCTAGGCTACTATCAGTTTAGGGCTGAGCGCAGTGCTGTGTTTCACACTGTTAAAAAGACCAACAGGGGACAGGGAGATGTTTCAGAGGTCAAGGTACTTGCTGCACAGGCCTGGGACCCACATGTAGGTAGAAGGAAAGAATTGATTCCCCATGTGTGCCCACACGTATCACACACAGTTAAGGGGTTATCTTGAGTTTCAGAAGACTTCGGACTTTCAATGGTGCTAAGACCAAAAGACTTATGGGGACTTTTGAAGCTGGACTACATGAATCTTGTATTACGATGTGGCCATCACCCTGTGGGACCAGGGCCTGGAATGTGGCAATTTAAAGGAGAAGTGTTCCCCATAGGCTCAGGTATTTGAATGCTTGGTCCTCACTTGATGGCACTATTTGGGCAGTATGGGGAGCAACCCAAGACTTTCTCAGAGGCCCTGAAGAAAGCACAAAGGGAATTTTTAAGTTCTGTGTCTTTGTCTAGGTGTGGACTTGGCAAGGCCAGTCTAGGGTTGGTGCCAGCCCCTTGAAGGACAACTCGGTAAGTTTAAAATATGAATCCCCCATAATTCAAGTTCTGGACAGGACATCCTCCTGTAGCAGTGTGTGTATAATAAAGGAGCAAATGAAGCCTAGCAGCATTTCACTTGATTGTCAGCTACAACCCACAGTCCTACTGCCCAGCCAACTTTGTCTTGACCCTGTGTTGGCCACACTGGAATCCTAGGAATTGCAGGAAACACACACAACCAGCAGATGGCACTGTTTCTCTGATTTGATCCCAGGCGACTCTTGTTCCCTAGAGGGGTTTGCTGAAGATTTAATTTTGGTGTTCAAGGGATGATTCAATATGATTTGGTGTAAAGGGATATTATTTTCTCCTTCCTTGTGTAATATAGATTTTTTTGAAACTAGGACCAGTTTCCTGTGGCTCTCTTCTAGACTTGCTGGGTCTGTTCTTTCCCTTGAGCCATTTCAAATTCCCATCCTTAAGACTCTCTTTGTTGCCCACAAAAATCAATATCAATTCAGGGTTTGGCTTTTAGCATTAAAAAAAAAATACTGTGGGGGAAGTCTTTTGATTTATCTGATGCTTTATTGGAGTTTGTTATACAACTTGAAAGCCTGGAGTGTTAGATGTAATTTAATCATACATTTTGGGAGTCATAAATTTTATAATTTTCTCTTTTGAACTCAAGCTCACAGTGTGAGCTCCCCATGTGTTTGCTGCCCCTCCCTGCACTAATTACAAAAGATACCACCAAGCCTAATATCATCATTATATCTAAGGTTATACTCTGAGTCAGCAGTTTGCCATGAGTCCTTAGGAACTCACACTCTTAGTTTGCATAGACAGACTCCTAGAATCATTAATGCATTTTAGTCACTGGTGAAAGAATGACAGGTTAGGCCGGGTGTGGTGGCACATGCCTTTTATCCCAGCATTCCAGGAGGCAGAGACAGGCAGATCTCCGTGAGTTCGAGGCCAGCCTTATCTACAAACTTTCACTTAGTTTCCATTAACTACTGCTAACTTCCCAGAGAGTGGGATAAACCATTCCTCCTGAGCTAAGATGCTAAGAAAGGAGTAAAGGGGACTAGAGTTAGATGGACTGAGCTGTAGAGGGCAGAGACAGCACAGTCCTAATGAGCATCAAGGGCTGGAGACTCAACATTCAGCAATAGGGGTGCTGGAGGTGGGAGAGAAGCACAAGGAAGCGTTGACAAAGCAAATTATAACAAGGCTCTACAAAGAGGTTGGGTTTTTGTTAGTCTTTGCTGTTGCATCTGTTTTCAACTTTTAGACTATGCTGGCTTACATCACTGTTGTTAATCTGTCGTGAGAACAGCACAAA